GGTGCGCCTCCTGCTGCTGCGGCGGCTCCAGCTGCGGCTGCTGCAGCTGCTCCTGCTGCTGCTGCTGCTCCTCCAGCCGCTGCAACTCTCTCTCCTCTCTCTCCAACTCCAGCTGCTCCTCACGGGCACGGCGAACACGAGCCTGGTGCCGGGTCGGGTAGGGATGGGGGGGAGGAGTAGTGTCGGGGGCTGCGGCAGCCCCGGGACCGCCCTCCAAAGCACCTGGCGCACCACCCCCAGAGTCAGAACCACCAACAGCAACACGACCAGGCTCACCAGGACCCGAAGAGGGTGCACCCGCACCCCCAGAGTCAGCAGGACCAACACCAGCTCCCGGAAGACAAGAGTCTCCTGCAACCACGGGCTCAGCTCCAACTCCAGCACCCCCAGAGCTGGCACCTGTAGGGCCCTCTCCACGAGCACCGGCTCCCGCAGGGTCTGCAGCAAGCTGCGAGGAGGACTGCGGGGAAGGAGGCTGCACCTGAGGGGCTACCGAGGGGGGAGGGGTAGCCTGGGACACACCTGACGGGGCAGGACCAGGGGGGGGAGGCTGTACCGGGGGAGCAGGAGGGGGAGCGGAAGTCAGGAAGAGAGGGGGAGGAGGAACCGGGAGACCTCGACTGGGGTACCTGACGTAGTAGGGGGTGGACTCCTCGAAACGGACGTCACGGGAGTCAAAGAACCGGTGAGAGGGAGGGTGGTAAAAGGTGAAGTCAGAGGAGTCCTCAGGGAAACCAAGGAAGACACAGGGAACGGCGCGAGGCGAGAGCTTGTCCGCGGAAGAGTCGCGGACAAGCGCCAAGCAACCCCAGACACGAAACCTCGACGCAACACCAGGGGACCCGGTCCAAAGACTGGTCGGTGAAGCCTCTGGCCGAGAGACGCGTGGCCAGAGGTTCAGCTGGTGAGCGGCATACCTAACCGCGTAGGGCCACAGAAAATGGGGGGCACGGGCGTGAGTCAAGGAGGTGCGGGCGATCTCCATGACCAAGCCTATGCGGCGCTCAGCAACCCGATTCTGCTGTGGGGACTCTGGAAGCGTCCAGGACTGACGAATGCCCTGCTCGCGACAGAATCCAGCGAGAATGCCGGAGCGAAACTCACCCCCACGGTCAGAGTGAAGACAGCTGACACGACGACCACGAGTGCCCTCAGTGGTAAGCAACCACCTGATCAGCGTAGAAGTCACCTCAGGCTTCTTCGCCAGGGGGAACACTGTGGTGTAGCGGGAGTAGTCGTCAACGACCACCAGAAAGAAACGCTCGCGCTCAGGGCCAAGGCGAGGGGCGGGGCCCCAGACGTCCAAGTGGAGCGTCTCAAAAGGCTCGGTGGTCAGACGAAGGGAGGAGGAGTGAGGGGTGGCGCGCAGCCGACCCTCGACGCAGGGACCGCACGGCGGTGCAAGCGAAGGCGGCAGCGACGGCAAGACACGCGGGAGGCCTAAGACAAGACGCTGACGAGACATAGCGCGCAGACGAGGGAGGGACGGGTGCCCCGTCCGGTGGTGCCAGAGAACGGTGGGGTGTGCAAGCGACCGGCAGGAGCACGACGCAGCAACTGGACCAGACACGGGAACCTGACCAGACACAGCTACCTGGGGGGACGCAGCAACCTGGTGAGACGCAGGGACCAGACTGGGGGAAGTAACCGGGGCCAGGGGCAGGAGTCCCTGCTGCTGCTGCTGCCGCTGCTGCTGCTGCTGCTGCTGCTGCTGCTGCTGCCGCTGCCGCTGCTGCTGCTGCTGCCCACCAGGGCCAGTGTGAAGTGTGTAGAGACCAGAGCCCGGCTCGGCAGTAAAGGTGGCAACGGGCGAGTAAGTGTCGCCGTCAACACAAACCGCCGTCTCACCAGAGGGCTCAATCCACACACCCACGTGCTGACTCACAAGAGGCCTCACGCCCACCAAGTTCCTCGAGAACGAGGGGACGTGGAAGCCAGTCAGAGACCCAGAGGGAACAGCAGGGCACGGAAGAGTAGTAGTGTAGCGAGCAGTGACTGGTCCCGAGGTGGGATCAGCCAGCGCCACAGAGACTGGCGCAGGAAGTGGAGTAAGTGTCGTGTGGTCGCGGAAGAAGCAGTGTGAAGCCCCAGAGTCCAAAGTGAAAGACAGCGAAGCGTCCTCCGAAGTGGCGCCTGGACTAGTGTCTACACAAGTGCCTACACTAGCAACAGGCAACTCAGCAAGACTAGCACCTAAGCTAACAACACTCGAGTAAACAGAGTCAGAAGCACTAGAGTCAACAACAGCATACATAGCATGAGGAGTTCCTAAGATATCAAGCAACTGAGAAGCATACATGCCCCAAAGAGCGGAGCCGTACGTCTGAACAAGAGGAAACCAGTCAGGGGCAGGGCCGCCAATGCCGAAGGCCAAGCGAACCGTGTCAGTGAGCTGAGCAAAGCACTGACCAGGAGGGTGGGTGCGGCCACAAGGCTGGCCTCGGCGAGCACCTGTCAGAACCTGATAGGTGCACGAAGGGTGAACAACACCTCGCTGGGGCTGACGCTGTACGGGCCCCGAAACCTGCTGTTGCCGCTGCTGCTGCGGGGGCTGCCAAGGGGAGGGGCTGCTGCTGCTGCACCTGCTGCTGCCGCTGGGCGAGGTACCACGCCGCTGCTCCACCCACCGCGGCCGGCAGACCAGGAGGAGGCTGACGAGGCCGGGTGTCGCCTCCACCAGCTGCAGTAGGGGAGTCACTGGCCGCTGCACGAGACGCCTCTCCAGGCCCTGCGCTCCCGCCGCCACCGGTCGGCACGCCACCCCCACCACCTCCGCCGCCAACGCCGCCACCGCCGCCACCGCCTGCACCCTGACCGCCCCTCCTGCCACCCCTACCCCGAGACCGCGACGAAGTCGTAACAGCAGCTGCGGTCACGTCAGTAGTGGCAGTGGCTAGTGAGGCAGTGAAAGTGGGCAGCTGAGGGACAGTGCACCCGTGAAACAGTGGAGGGGGCACATCACCAGAGGCGGAGGCTACGGAGCGGAGGTTGCTCTCGACGTCCTTGAGCGCACTAGGGTGCTTCAGAAGAAGCGTGTCACGAACCGAGGCAAGGCGGTCAGGGAGGCTAGTGGCAATGAAGTAGATAGTAATCGCCATGGGAGGGGGAAGCAGTGCAAGCTGTGCGTCAGTGCAAGTAGCGCGGTAGCTAGAATCGAGCGAGCGGAGGTGAGCAATCAAGTCAGCAGAGCGCTCAAACGAGGCGAGGTCAGGGAACAAGAACGGTAGGAAGAGGCGGCCAAGAGAGACAGTGGTGGGAGTAGCGTAGCGGGCCTTGATCGCAGTCAGGAACTCACTAGCAGTGCGAACCTGAGTGAAGTGGGCCTCCTCAGACTCAGGGAGGAGGCTGCTAAGAGCGATGCAGGCCGCAGCGTCACGCGACTTCCACGCCGTCAGGTCAGCACGCTGGCCGGTAAAGCGGTCTCTGGCGGCGTCGTCAGGGGCAGGGCCTAAAGGCGTAGGGTCGTCGGGCGCAGGAAGGTCACCAGTAGCGTGCGCCCAAAGGGACTCACCCGCCTGAACCTGACTCTCTAAGAGGCGACGCGCACGTAGGAGCCAGACCGGAAACTCGAGCGGTCTACCGTCAGCGTCGAAGCGAAGAACCCTAGGGGTCGCCATGGTGTAAGTAGAGGCAACACGGGCGGTGGGTGGCACTGGTAGGGACGGTAGGCGGCTAGGGCAAGTCCGTGACGGGCGCAAAACGCGGGCGCAACGGGGCTAGGGGCGGTCCCGCGGCGGACTGAACGAGTAGGCGCAGCGGTGCGAAGGAGGGCCTACGGCGGCTGTAAGGGAGGGCCCACGGCGGGCCTAACTAGCAGGCGCGGCGGCTGTAAAGGAGGGCCCGCGGCGGCTGTAAGGGAGGGCCCGCGGCGGGCCTAACTAGCAGGCGCGGCGACGGGACGAGCGGGCCCACGGCCGGGCCTAACGAGCAGGCGCGGCGGCGGGCGGTACGGGCAGGCGCGGCGACGAAATGCGGGGCGCCGCGGCTACGAAACGCGGGGCGCCGCGGCGACGAAATGCGGGGCGCCGCAGCGATGAAACGCGGGGCACCGCGGCGACGAAATACGGGGCGCCGCGGCGACGACGAGCGGGCGTTTAGGGCAGCGGGGGGAGGACGCGACGCGACGGGCAGCGGGGGAGGGCGTGACGGGACGGGACGCCAGGGAGAGCGCAACGTGACGGGCAGGGGGGGGGGGAAGGCGCTACGCTACGCGGAAAGCGGGTCGGCGGAGCGAGCGCTAACGAACGAGCGAGACTGGATCGGGCCGGCGCTAACGAACGAGCGAGACTGGATCGGGCCGGCGCTAACGAACGAGCGAGACTGGATCGGGCCGGCGCTAACGAACGAGTGAGATTGGATCGGGCCGGCGCTAGGCTCGGGCAAGACGGGTACGACTAGTACGAGAGAGCGAGACAGGCTCGGGCGGAACGAACGAGGACGAGAGATGCGGGATCCCACAGGATCCTAACCTAGGTGATACCATGTCAAGAATAGAAGTGTTGGTTCATTGATGTGGGTTGGGGTACATATAACAAACCCTAACATCTGTACCCCCTAAGACAAACCTCACTACAGGCTACAACATTTGACAGTGTGTTGCTTTTTGGATTTTTTGGCAGTTTTACTTTCCTTCTCCCTTTCCTTCTCCCTTTACTTCTCCCTTTCCTTCTCCATGTGCAGTTGGGACGCTATAACTTGAATCTCATTCTACAGGTCTCTCTGTTATCCCGGTTATAGTGATGACCATATATTTGCAAATAACATGGATAGCACTTGAATATATTTCCTAGCAAAAGTAGATTGCAGTTGATATTGTCCCCTCTCACGTTCATCAATTTATGGAGCTATAACAACAACACGACCAAATCTTCCCGCTTTTTCCTGAAAACCGAGCTTCCACAAAACCACCGAAATCAGCCACATGTCACCGCACCTGCTAGTTTACCCCCGCTTCTCTTCCCACCCCACAAAACGCCCAAGGGCCCTCTCCAACCCTAAAATTAGACCAAGTCATCGTCGTCCAGTTTCCGCCCCCGGATCCGATTTAAGGCCTTCAAGGCCTTGTCAGCAGCGGCCTTGCCAGCAGCGGCCTTGTCAGCAGCGGCCTTGTCAGCAGCGGCCTTGTCAGCAGCGGCCTTGTCAGCAGCGGCCTTGTCAGCAGCGGCCTTGTCAGCAGCGGCCTTGTCAGCAGCTGCCTTGTCAGCAGCTGCCTTGTCAGCAGCGGCATTCTCAGCAGCGACCATCTCAGCAGCGGCCCTCTCCCTTTCAGCAGCGGCGTCCCTCTCAGCGGCGGCCCTCTCAGCAGCAGCCTTGTCAGCAGCGGACCTCTCAGCAGCGGCCCTCTGAGCAGCGGCCCTCTCAGCAGCAGCGGCCATCTCCCTCTGAGCAGCAGCGGCCCTCTCCCTCTCAGCAGCAGCGGCCCTCTCCCTCTCAGCAGCAGCGGCCCTCTCCCTCTCAGCAGCGGCCCTCTCCCTCTCAGCAGCAGCGGCCCTCTCCCTCTCAGCAGCAGCAGCCCTCTCCCTCTCAGCAGCAGTGGCCCTCCCCCTCTCAGCAGCAGCGGCCCACTCGGCAGCGGCCTTGTCGCTCGCCGCATTCGAGTTGTCGCTTCCCGCGTTCACAACGGCAGACGTTGTAGCGAGGAGAACGAGCAGGCAAGTGACGACATAGTAGCGGGCCATGGCGAGAAAGATCGGTGTTTTGTCCAGAGCTGGTCGAGTGAGAGCTAACACCGCTGCGGCTCCGTGATACACACGGAGTGGCAGGACTGCCTTTGTATTGGTGAGCGCCGCTCTGCTGGTAACAAATCAGGGGGCTGAGCCCCCAGATTTTTTTTATTATGTGTCATCGATCACCCCAGGTATTTTGGACACATCAGAGTGTGGTTACGTACGCACATACACACACACACATGAGCGCTGCTAACTCGACAGATTTGCGTGTACTACACGTATTCCGGCCCAGGGTGTCTCATTCCCCGCGACATCAGGGCCGCGAGGGAAGGAAGCAACACCCGATGCCTCGCGATCCACCTGGGGCGGCGACACGCTACTGTGATGGGGTTCTCCATCGCATTGCCCAGGGTTTCTCATATTCTCATTTGAGTGCCCCGATCAGACGCAATCGATTGTTGATTGGGTGAGATCGGGAGCCCCCCCGCGACAATCGCGAATTGTAACAACTGCTAGCAAACTTTCTCGACCCTAGCTACTTTGTATAATCTGGTAGCTGATTTGTCACATCGTTTGTGGATGGGACATTGTGGAAGAATCTTCCGTGCTGCGTAAACTTTCTTGGAAAATGTTCTTTGGATCATGCGGCTCGCTTAAGCACCTGGATAAATGTCATGCAAAGCCATAATGGATTAATGATGAGAGAGAAAGCAATTGCACCACACTGGCTGGCATTAGATATCAAACAGTTCTCGCACAAGTCATACAGCTAGCGAGAGTTTCGAGTTTCACACCGAAATTCAAGCCCTGAGACAATCTTGGGAGGTTTTGGGGAAAAAAACAAAAAAAACAATCTTGATAGACGTCTGGAAACTCGCACATGCGGGGATACGGTACCCAGTTGTGCATGAGCCTGCATCAGGCTGTGTGGTTCTCCCCTGATTCTTCCTTTGGCCGCCTGAACGGCAGCAGGGACCACTGCGGCCGCGATGACTTGGCCTTGGCAGGATGAGCTGATTCAAGGAGAGGGATAGAGCAGGGAAAAACGGGGAGTAGAGGGATACAGCGGGCACAGCAGGCAGGGAAGAGAAGGCAGCGTGTGAGTATCCTCCAGGACATGCAGCAGGGAGGGAAGAGAAGTCACCTTTCTGAATATAATCCCAGAGCATGTGAATTTACTCGACGCACGCAGTGGTGGGTGGAGCCGAAAGCGCAACAAACAGCGAAAGTTTTTGGTTGTGAGAGTTTTCACTGGAATATGTAAAAGTGGTGTACTACGGTACTAGAACGCTCATGCCTGAAGATTTCTCTACAGCAGAAAAGAAGGTGTGGTATCCATGATCTCACCTGGCGCCAGACCTCCCGCCTGATACCACACCTGATACCACACCTGATACCACACCTGGTACCACACCTGATACCACACCTGATACCACACCTGATACCACACCTGGTACCACACCTGGTACCACACCTGGTACCTGCCACCTGATGCCACACCTGAAATGTTTCTTGAGAAGACCTTGAGAATTTCGTCCACAATGATAACCTGGCATGAGGACAGGGTAAGGGACGGAGCAGGGGGGGCGGGGCAGGGCATGTGGAGAGGGCATGGCGTGGGGCAGGGTTTGAAAATATCTTGAGAATATCGTCCATAATGATGACCTGGCATGAGGACAGGGTAGGGGACGGAGCACGGGAGGAGGGCAGGGCGTGGTACATGTGAAGGGACAAGCGTGTGGGAGTGCAGGGTATTAGACAGGGTAGGGGACTGAACACAAGGAGAGGGCAAGGGCACGAAACAGGGCAACGCACAGAGGACGGGATTACGCCTACAACAGAGAGAAATCGGGGGGTGGACTTTTGAGTCGACTCAAAAGTCGCGCAGAGGACGGGACACAAAGGATTACGCCTACAACGGAGAGAACTCGGGGGGTGGCTAGAATGGGTAGGGTGGCATACAGGGAATGAGAAGAGCAGCACTGCGCGCCACTCAGGCCAGGAGAGAGGGCCGACCTGCCATGGAATAACAAGATGAAAAGGGGTATACAAGGCACGTGCGAGGGGATGAGTTGGAAAGGCAAGGCGAATGGTGAGCAAGGGGAACAACGAAGAAGAGAAAGGAAAGGAATCATATTGCAGGGGCCCTGACGCACTTACATAGAAGAAAACGAGTGAGGGCAAGGACGAAACGATGAGGAAAAGGCGTGTATGCACACTCACGGAGAAGAGGACAGCGAGGGTAGGAACGTAGAGGATGAGGAAGTGGAGAATCGTTGAGAGAGTGATGGCTGCTAGCAGCCAGAGGTTGGACCAGGAGAGATTGGTGAGGGCACATGTTGCAGGGGACTGGAAGCACTCACAGAGAAGAGCACAGCAAGGGCAGGAGCGTAGAGGATGAGGAAGTGGAGGATCATCGAGAGGGTGATGGCTGCTAGCAGCCAGGGGTTGGACCAGGGTGGCAGGACGCTGCAGGGGGGGAATGGGGAAGGAAGAAGAGGAAAGGAGAAAGAGAGAATGGCACAAATGAGCAACAGTGAAGGATCATGGAGAGGGTGATGGCTGCTAGCAGCCAGAGGTTGGACCAGAGCGGCAGGACGCTGCATTGCCGGGGGACACGTCGAAGGAAGAAGTGAAAAGGAGCAAGAGAGGGTGGCACATAATGAGCAGCAGTTGAGGATGATGGAGAGAGTGCCACCCTCGGAGGTTTTTCGGAAGCTAAGGGTTTTCCAGATCTGCGATTTTCACACTTGCTTTTTCACTGTTGATCCTTAGCTTAAGCGTCCTCTCTACTACTGCAGTCCTTCGGATATGAGTCAAGGGGAGGAGGATGGAGAGAGTGAAAGCAGCGAGCAGCCAGAGGTTGGACCAGGCCGGGTTGGGAGGGGAGTTGGATGGGCTCTTGGATGCAGCAGAGAAGAGAGTTGGAGGGGGTGAGGGGATGCGGTGGTAAGAGAAACTCTTTCTTCAAGCAGGAGTACAGGCAGGTGTGGCCAGCCGCACTTCTAGGTAGAAGAAAAGGCACTCACAGCAGGCTCTGATTCTCGGAGAGGTTGTTGAGGGCGTTGACCATCTCCACCACCAGCAGCACTGACATGGCTACACCACCGTGCGGGGACGACCAGAACAGTGCGCAGGCAGGATCATGGGCAGAGATATGGGCAGGGGTAGGCAAACGCATTCCTTGCGTGTTGGACTCGCAGCAGGCTCTGGTTCTCCGAGAGGTTGTTGAGAGCGTTGAACATCTCGACCACCACCAGCACTGACCTGGCCACCGTGCGTGGACTAAGACAGGAAGAAACCAGCACAGGTAGTCAGATTCCTTGTTTCATGGACTCACAGCAGGCTCTGATTCTCTGAGAGGTTGTTGAGGGCGTTAAACATCTCGACCACCACCAGCACTGACATGGCCACGGTACGTGGACGCGGGTCCAGGAACACGGCGCACGGGCGACCAGATGAATCCACACACGTGTCAAAGGTGACCTGGAGGCACGGAGTGGGGAAGAGGTGGGAGCAGATGGGGGTTGGGAAAGAGCAGGAACTCCAACACCAGAAGCACAGAGCACAGAGTCACGGCGCATGGGCGACCAGATGCGTCCGTCCACACGGAAATCACTTTTGAAATTTCTCAAAAGCGGGATGTCCAACACCAGAAGCACAGAGAACAGAGTCACGGCGCATGGGCGACCAGATGCGTCCACAGAGGTGTCAGAGGTGACCTGAGCAGGTGCGTTGGAGGGGAGGACAGACGAGGGGAGAAGGGTGTTGGGAAGTGAAGGCATGCCAATCACTTAAAGCGCAAAAACCACTGTGCAGGGGCGACCAGATGCGTCCGCAGAGGTGTCAGGGGTGACCTGAGTGGGTGCGTTGGAGGGGAATGGAGATTGAAGGCATGGTCAAACGCCGCAAGCACAGACACTCAGCGGAATGGTTGACCAGACGCATCCACACATGTGTGAAAGGTTGTTTTTGCGAATTCTAAAAAATACCCTGCAGCATCATGTGAAAGATGAAATGAGCGGATGCACCGAGGGGGGTGGGGGGAGAGGGTGGGGAGGTGACTAGTAGCGGCATGTCGGGGAGAAAAGGCATGTCGGGGAGCACTGGGAGAAAAGGCATATCGGGGCCACCAGATGCATCATGCATCCATGCAGGTCCCATAGATTGACATGTGTCAGACATCCACGCAGGGAACACGAGAAGGTGAGAGGGAACAAGAGGAAGGACGGATTACAGGGGTTCGCAAACCAGCTGGCTAGACTGCGGCCCTCATCTGGTTCAGATAAGGGTATGAAACAACAAATAAATGGAGATAGACCCACCAGTTGAGTCCAGGTGATCTTGGGCCCATCGGCAAACCACATGTACCACCAGACAAAGGCAGCCACTGTGACCAGCCCCACGTAGACTGAGAAGAAAAGATGGGGGAGGGGAGTAGAAAATGGAGAGAGGGAGCATCTACATCGGCGAAGCATCTACATCTGCCTGGTGTATAGATTCAGCTAGAATGAAGCTAGAATGAAGCTAGAATGAGAAGAAAGAAGTACCACATACAGTGCATGAGTGAACAAGGGAGGCACTCACTTCCGATGACTAGATAGCGGAAGAACAGCCATCCATTGACGATTGCATCCTCCATCTGTGTTCATGCATGTGCACACACACACCCATGCACGCATGCACACATGTGCACACACACACCCATGCACGCATGCACACATGTGCACACACACTCGCCCATGCACACATGCATACGCACACACTCACGCATGCACGCACACACACATGCACACACATGCACGCACGCACGCACACCCACACACATGCACACACAAGAACACAACTCGTCACATACACACACTAGCCTGTTTCCTATCCAGTTGGAACCATACAGTGACCTGCACAGACCCAATAAGAGCTTATGTGGGCTTTCAACTGACTGTAACGAATGTGGAACCTGCTTATACATACACACCTTCCTGGGTCGAATGCTCATCCCAGAGGAGTGACAGGTAAGCCATCAGTGATCTCTGGTTCACCCACAGCAGCTGCACGGGAATGAGTGTCTCTGGCATGCCCACTGCTGCCCCACTGTGTGCTGTCATAGAACCAGCACTGTGTGTTGTTGCACATGGAATACGCACCTTTCGCGGCTTAATGCTCATCACGTCTCTGTCCTGCTTGTTGAATCCCAGCGCAGTAGCAGGTAAGCCATCCGTGACCAGGTTGACCCACAGCAGCTGCACGGGGATGAGCGTCTCTGGCATGCCCACTGCGGCAGCGAGGAAGATGGCAACGACCTCCCCAATGTTGGAGGACACCATGTAGCGAATGAACGCCTTCATGTTGTTGTAGATGGCGCGCCCCTCGCCCACCGCCTGATGGGGGGGGGTTGCAGTTGCAGCCAAGGGGAGCGAGAGAGGGGCGTGTTTGCAGTGAAAGGCCATTGACGACCTCCCCAATGTTGGAGGACACCATGTAGCGAAGAACGCCTTCATGTTGTTGTAGATGGCCCTCCCCTCGCCCACCGCCTGGGAGAGGGACGGTTGTAGGAAGGAAGGAGGGCAAGCCATGGGAGGGTGGACGGGATAGTGGAAGGGAGAGAGGGAGGGCTGCCATATGCATTGACCACTTCGCGCACGGTGTCCTAGAAGTACAAAAATGGAAGGGAATAACTTATCTTTAACGGCACAGTACACGAGATATGGTATAGAAATGAAAGCACTGAAAGAGCATTGGAAGAGGGGGAGCAACGAGGGGGCCATACCGCGACAATGGTGGAGAAGTTGTCATCTGCCAACACCATGTCTGATGCTCCCTGCAGTGCAGGAGGGAGAGTGGGAAGAGAATGCAAATGCACGAGTAAGTGAGACGAAGGGACACAGGTGCAGGAGGAGGAACAGTGGGAGAAGTTGTCATCTGCCAACACCATGTCTGATGCGCCCTGGTGCAGAGAGAAGAAGGCGTGAGGAGGAACAGAAGATGGAGGCACAAAAGAGCAAGAGGAAGGCCAATGTAAGAGGAGAAAGAAGAGCCCAAGGAACGCGTGCATTTGATTCGTGATTGAGATGAACATAGAAGTGCGTGCACCTCATCCCATCCCCACCTTGGCCACAGCAGTGCCAGACCCCATGGCAATCCCAATGTCTGCTTTCTTGAGAGCTGGTGCATCGTTCACCCCATCGCCCGTCATCGCCACCTGCAGAGAACGAAAGAGAAAGGCTGATTACGGGTGCGATAAATAAGCTGAGGAGGAAGAGAAGAGAAAGGAGAGGAGAGAAGAAGAAGTGCAATTGGAGAAGCAAGGCATGTGCTTATGCAGCTCACCACTTCGTTTTGGCGTTTGAGATAGTCTACGAGCATGGACTTGTGGCTGGGCTCCACTCTGCTCGAGGAAAACAACGAAGGATGGTGCAACAAGAATAATTGTGTGTGCGTGGTTGAGTTAGTGTTATTTGAATGTGTTTTTGAAATTGTCCATGATCGGGCAACGTGAGGGCCTGAGCAAAGGAGGAAGGGGCAGCGGGAGAGTGAGAGTGAGTGTGTGGGAGAGGGCAAGTGCACGACCAGACGAAACCAGTCAAACCTCAAACCAGTCAATCACTGCTTCTTGTGGCGGAAACACACCTCAAACGCAAAACTATGAACCAAGTCACCTGCAAAACGCTTTTAATAAGTCACCTGCAAAAAAGGACGAGTTGCTGAACAGCAGCAGCCTGCTGCGACGGCGACAGCAACTCAAACTCGGCCGCTGTCAGAGATGCATACCCCCCCTCCTCTCCCCCTCCCGCTCCCACTCCCCCTCCCCCCAGGTGTCCTATCACACGCTTTAATCATGTTACCCCCAAGTCACCTGCAGAAGAGGACGAGTTGTTGAACAGCAGCGGCCTGCTGCGACGGCGACAGCAACTCAAACTCCGCCGCTGTCAGCGATGCATAACCCCCCTCCTCTCCCCCTCCCGCTCCCCCACTGGTGCTTGCTTTGAGCAGAGGCGAGGTGGGGGAGGAGGGGGAGGCGGGGGAGGAGGGGTCGATGGTAATGAGAGCATCTGCAGAGAGAGGGCTGAGAAGACCTATGCGGCGACACACCGACTCTGCTGTGGCCTGCATGGGCCGTGAGAGGGGGAATGCGGGGGGGGGGGGGAGGAGGGTGGGAAGAGGAGGGGGAGATGGTGACGAGGGCGTGGACGAGGAGATGGATGCGCAGCCCAATGCGGCGACACACCGACTCTGCTGTGGCCTGGATGGGCCGTGAGAGGAGGAGTGAGAGGAGTAATGGGTGTTATAACGCAATTGGTTTTTTAAATGCCTCAAAGAGCAGACCTATGCGGCGTCGCGGCGACACACCGACTCTGCTGTGGCCTGGATGGGCGGTGAGAGGAGTGAGAGGGGTAATGGGTGTTACAACGCAACTGGTTTTTGAACTTCCTCAAAGAGCAGACATATGCGGCGACACGCCGACTCTGCTGTGACCTGGATGGGCGTGAAGAGGGGGAGTGAGAGGGAAAAGGGGAAAATTCAAGCTCGCTTTGAGCAGAGGAGAAGGGGGGGCGGGGAGGGAGATGAGGGGTCGATAGTGATGAGGGCACGGGCGGGGAGAGGGCCGAGCAGCCCGATGCGGCGACACACCGAATTTGTGGTGGCCTGGATTCGAGGCGAGACGGACAGCGAGTGGGGGAGCGAAAATTGGAGGGGAGAAATGTGGATACAAGGCACCAAATGGGTTCGTGGGTAGTCGAATTGAAACGATGACAGCATACCTTGTTGTCGCCTGTTACAACAATGATGCGAATGCCAGCTGACCGGCATGTCTCCACGACTACTCTTATCATAGAATAGTAAAAATCGGTGGCAGCATAGCATACCTTGTTGTCGCCTGTTACAACAATGATGCGAATGCCAGCTGACCGGCATGTCTCCACAGCTGCTCTCACCTCCTCCCGAGGTGGGTCCAACATTCCCACCTGCCATATACACATGCCATGCCGAGCCATGCCCATGTCATGCCACGCCACGCGAAGCCATGAAGTACGATTGCCATGCAATGTCATTTGTGCCATGCCATGTCCCGTATGGTGGGTTGGAGAGAGTAGGACAATGAGTACCGTCAGGAACAGAGGCCATGGGGCAAGCAACTTTCATAACTGTGACTCGACCCAAAAGTCACCTCTTTCGTAACTGTGGCTCGACCCGAAAGTCACCTCTTTCATAAGTGTGCAGAGGCAAGCAATAGAGTCACTAAGGGTGAGGATTGTGAGGATAAATTGACAACACAGTGATGTTTTACTCCTCAAAGATAGAAAGAGAAGCAAACCAGAACTCATCCAGACTGAAAGGGTGCAATTAGGGTTGAGCAAGGTAACGAACACCTGTTCGGTTCGCCTCGAACGTGTTCGAGGCGAACCGAACAGGTTTGTTTTTTGGCTAAAAATGTTCGTGGCGAACGTGTTCGGTGTTCGCCCGAACACATTCGGTGTTCGTCTCGTCGTGGGTGCCGAGCCGCGACGAACACGAACACGTTCGTGTTCGTTCCGGGGCAAAAACGAACACGAAGGTGTTCGTCGCGGCTGTCCCGCGATCTACAATTTAGGTTGCGGGACATTCTGTTTGAGCTCAAATTTGAGCTCAAACATAGTCGCGCTATTCAGCAGCAGCCATTACTACCACGCCCCCCACACATCACGCCATTAACACCTCATTAGGACTTAGCGTAAGTAAATTGTAGCCTAAGGTTAGTCTGACTAGACTTGGGTAGGTGAGATTTAGGTTGTCGGGAAGGGATTAGACAGGAATACTGTAGAATCTCGTAAGTTGGGGGGGTTGGTTGGGGGTAAGCATTCGCAAATTTCGTATGCATAAGTTTGGGGAAAGCATTCGCGAATTTCGTACGTTGGGGATTGACAGGAATAGCGTTCGCATTTTTCGTAAGTTCGGGAATTATGGGGGGGTGGCGAGCAATCACAAATTTCGTAGATCTAGAGGGGAGAGAGCATTTCGCCTTACCTGGGGGGGAAATCCAGGTGGGAGCTGGATAAGCAAAAATATGGATCCCTAACTAGCACAAGCCAGATCCAGCCTATATTTTTTTCCTTGTTTTCCGCAATTCCCCTGCCCGCCGTTGCGTATTTCGAGCGTAACAGAGGATGCCCAAAAGCGAATACGAACGTGTTCGCCACGAACACGTTCGTGTTCGCCTCCGAAACCAAGGTGTTCGCCTTCACAGGCGAACGGCGAACACCTCTTTTAGCTTAAGCTGTTCGGCGAACCGAACAGTGTTCGGTTCGCCGAACGGCGGTGTTCGTGCAGGGGCGAACGCGAACACGTTCGTGTTCGCCTCTTGCTCATCCCTAGGTGCAATGGCGACGGATCAGAACTGGTAGGGAGATACGAAGGACTTGCCAACAAAGGGTTACCACTGGAAGGTCACAAGTCCAAGGAAGGGAGGTATGTTTTACAATATGGAGTGTGATGGGCTGCTGCCTCCGAGGTCACACATGACGTTACCACCACACTAGGCAAATGGGCAAAGGTGACAGACCAGGACGATTAGGGAAGGACAGAATATAAAGGAGCTACCAAAAACTGGTTACCACTGGGAGGTTACCAGTCCAAGGAAGGTAAGGTCGAAAGTGATGGTCTGCTGCCATCAAGGTCACATATGCCGATACCCCACTACAGTAACGCAATTATGTGCACCACCACCGGGCAGTTACCAGGCCGAGGTACGTGAGGTCGGTTTCGTCATCGGGAGTGATGGTCTGATGCCCTTGGGGCATAGACCGCATGGCAAGAGCCAGGCAGCGCAGCATCTCATGCCGTCCATAGCTGGTGGGATGTGGAGGGGGGTTGTGGCGAAGGCAAGGGCGTGGATTTTCTATCGATATAATCTAAAACCGAGGCAGAGGCCGCATGGCAAGTGCCAGGCAGCGCAGCATCTCATGCCGTCGATAGCTGGTGAGGCGTGGAGGGGGTTCGGGATGCAGTAGAGAAAGGCGTGACTTAAGTGTTTAATTGCTTTGAGCCTGGGGCAGAGACCACATGGCAAGCGCCAGGCAGCGCAGCATCTCATGCCGGCCATAGCTGGTGGAGTGTGGTTGTGGGGACATAGGACCGGGAGGAGGCAAGTGGGAAGGAGGGAGAGGTCAGCGCAATGATCACTGCACAATGTACCTGCACACCCTCTCTTCGATCGCTGCCTTGATTATAGATCTGGTTTGATTTGCTTCGGGTTCTCTCATGGCAAGAACAACCAGCGCTCACCTGCACACTCGCTCTTCGATCACCGCCTTCAGCTCTGGAGTCATGGCAGCCACAGCGCCATCGGCGTTGCTCAGCACTCAACTGCTGCAAACCAATACGCATCGTTGGGGTCACCTCAAAGCAAGAACCAACGCTCACCTGCACACTCGCTCTTCGATCGCTGCCTTCATCTCTGGCGTCATGGCAGCCACAGCGCCATCGGCGTTCGTCAGCACTCGGCTGCTGCGAGACAGCACAGCCTCTGGCGCTCCCTTGCAGAAGAGAATCTGGTGTGGTGTGGTGGGTGGGGAGGTGGGAGGTGGGAGGTGGAGGTGAGTCGTGAGGGCCAGAGGGGAACGATGAGGAGGGAACACGGAAGGAGGGATTGCTTCAAAGGGCACAGCCCCATCGTTGTTACGCAGCACTCTGCCGCTGCGGAACAGGACAGCCTCTGGTGCTCCCTTGCAGAAGAGAATCTGGTGTGGTGGGTGGGTGAGGAGGTTGGAGGGTGGGGAGGTGAGCAACAGCAGGGAACGATGGGGAAGTAACGAGGAAAGAGGAATAGCCTCAAGGCAACAGCCCCATCGTCGCTGCTCAGCACTCTGCTGCTGCAAGACAGCACAGCTTCAGGCGCTCCCTTGCAGAAGAGAATCTGGTGTGGTGGGTGGGTGAGGAGGTAAGGGGGGGAGGAAGAATTAGCATGTAGATGGATGCCTCCCCCGCCTCCCCACCTTCAAAGCAGGACTGGCGTGTTGGGTGGGGAGGCGGGGGAAAGTGAGCGACAACGGGATGCCGTGTGGGAAGGAACAAGGAAGGAGGGATTGTCTCAGTGCATAGCAAAGTGCAATCATCTTCGCTTCGTGCAAAATACACTTCACTTCCAAGTTCCAACACCCCATCCCGTCCCTCTCCTCGGCCCCCACACACTCACTCACCTCCTCCTCGCCTCTCATGCACAGCACACTCATCAGCTTGCGGTCCCTTGAGAACTCCAGACTCGCAAGCTGCAGGTCGGATGCGGTGGGAAGGGATGCGGGCGGGGAGGGATGGGAAGGAAAACTGTTGTTAGGTACTTATTGTCCTATAGTTCGCTAGTTTATTTATGAATTGTATGTATCCGTTTACATTATAGTAGTGTAGACATTAGGGGTTGGGTTATATTAGTTCTAGGGTGCCCCCTGAGTGACTTTATCAAGTGCTAGGCACCCCAAATTCGGCTTTGGGGCACCTCAGCACGTTTCCCAACCTTGGGGGTGCGGCTCCAGCCTGGACCCACGAAAATCAACATTGGAAACGCGGCTCTAGCCTGGAATTCGCGTTTCCGATTCGTGGAATCGCGGTTCCACTAGAGGGGGCGCTTCCAGGCCGACTTTGAGGGTCCCTCACGTCCCCAAGTTGACTGTGGGCGACTTGAGCACCCAATTGGCCACCCCAAGTCCCTTGGGTACCACCTCCATCACCTGGGCCAGCCCAAGTCGCCTCCAAAGTAAGCTCTCTTCACTTTCTGCCTATTTTAGCCATTGTTTTGCTTGTATCCAGCACTTCAATTTACTTACTGCTCTAGAACCTTTCAGCATTTCACAGCCAGCTTCTCCTTGTGCACATTGTGCACATTAGGTCTGTTTTTCTACAAAACCCAAGGGTATGAGATAACCAGGTCATCATTACCACTGATTCTCAGCAGGATGGAGGGAAGGGGGCAGCACATGATATGATAGACATACCTGGGCTGACCGAGCAGGTCAGAGGGAAGAGATGAAGGACAGGGGGGGATGACAGAGGAGACTAAGGCCTGGTAGGAATGAAGGAGTAGGTACCTTGTGGAAAGTTTCGTGCCAGTGGTTGTTGCAAAAGGCGGCTCTTTCTGCCTTGCTGAGGAGACCAAGGGATGTGGGCATGTCGGAATAACCCGGTATGCCGATCTGTGCTGGTGACCAGATGCATGCACGATGATGCACGAGTACAGACATGCATGCATACACACAAACACGTGCACACATGCATGCACAGCAGACATACATGAATGCACACACATGCACACCACACATGCGCGTGTGCTCTCACGGACACAATACGCGGATGTGCATATGTGCAGACAGAAACAGAATCCATAAACACAAGAAGGCACAAAGCACACAAAGCACAAAATGCACAAACGGCGTAATGTTGCCCCTCTACCCCTCCACATTATGCTCTCCACCTGCTTCACTGGTCACCTTCTCTGCTACAGCCTCTCACCGTCTCTGCTACAGCCTCTCACCGTCTCTGCTACAGCCTCTCACCGTCTCTGCTACAGCCTCTCACCGTCTCTGCTACAGCCTCTCACCTTCTCTGCTACAACCTCTCACTTTCTCTGGTACAGCCTCTCACCTTCTCTACTACAGCCTCTCACCGTCTCTGCTACAGCCTCTCACCTTCTCTGTGAGAACCCGAAGGGCCACCTCAGTGGCCTCCCCAATGCGGTCGTAGGTGTCAGTGGTGGCGTTGTACTGGAGGGTGGAGTCGTTGCACATAGAGGCGCACATCGCCACGTGCTGCACCGATGGCATGTCGGCTGGCCGCTCCACCTGGTGATGTGCGGATCAGAGAGGCATGTATTCACAGGGCATGGGGCACATGAGATCCGCATGTGGTGACGTTGTATTGGAGGGTGGAATTGTTGCACATGGAGGCACACACGGCCACATGCTGCACCGATGGCATGTCTGCTGGCCGCTCCACCTGGTGAGAGGGGCAATGAGAGAGGGACACATCCAGTCACATGAACGCCCTGTGATACACATAAAAACTCATGGAGGCACACATTGCCATGTGCTGCACTGATGGCATATCTGCTGGCCGCTCCACCTGATGGCGGATCCCATCAGAGAGGCACAAGTTCAGGGGCCACGAGGCAGATCAGATCAGCACGTGGTGAAATGCGTCATATTGCAGGGTGGAGTCGTTGCACATTTACATCACCGAGGCATGCAACAAGGGGAGACCAGATCAGTGCGTGGTAGCGTTGTATTGGAGGGTGGAGTCATTGCACGTGGAGACGCACATTGCCACGTGCTGCACCGAGGGCATGTCGGCTCCACCTGGTGTTGAGCAGAGAGGCCACACATACAGTCACACCAACACCACCGATTGCCCAACAATGAAGGAGGTTGCAAAATTCAGAGGCATATTGAGTGAGCTCACTCGGCAGACATGGACCCGCACTGACCGCCCAAGGGTAATGGAGCTGTCACATACGTGGCTTTGTCACATACGTGTCTGGAAGTACACATGCACTCACACTCAGCAGACATGGACCCACACTGACCGCCCAAAGGCAATGGAGCTATCACATACGTGGCTCTGTTGCATACGTGTCTGGAAGCACACATACACTCACACTCAGCAGACATGGACTCACTCTGACCACCCAAGGGTAATGGAGCTATCACAACCACACATGTCCAGGTGAATCCAGTGTTGATGCTCCATAGACTTGGCTAAAATGGCCTTCAACACAACACAACACAGCACAACGCAGCAAAGTACAGCACAGCACAGCACAGCACAGCACAGCACAGCACAGCACAGCACAGCGCAGCGCAGCGCAGCGCAGCGCAGCGCAGCGCAGCGCAGCGCAGCACAGCACAGCACAGCACAGCACAGCACAGCACAGCCCAGCCCAGTGCAGCGCAGCGCAGCACAGCACAGCACAGCACAGCACAGCACAGCACAGCCCAGCGCAGCGCAGCGCAGCACAGCACAGCACAGCACAGCACAGCACAGCGCAGCGCAGCGCAGCACAGCGCAGCACAGCACTCACCACCGAGCGCCCCAGAGTGATGGAGCCTTCAGGCGAATAAGTGGTTCCAGACACGTCCAGCTCACACAAGGGGCCTGCTGCTGAGCTGCACACACAGATCTGACCAGGGGGCAAGTTGAGCGCAGCGCATGGGAGATGGAGATAGGAAGGAAAGAGAGCATTGAAGTCTCACTTGCGTATGTGGGCCCAACACGTTCAGCTCACACAGAGCGCCTGCTGCTGTTATGCATGTACAGATCTGGCAGGGACGTATATAGGGGGTTGAGGTGCGACCGTGCGGGTGCCCGTCTCCTTGCTGCAGATGACTGATGGCGTCTTAGTCAGCATCATGGGTGCACGACAGAACGATACTTGAATCCCTGCCAGCAGCAAAAAACACATTTGGACATTCGCACACACAGACAAAGACACGTGACACACAAACACACAAACACACAAACATCCACACACACATGCACCTTGTGGTGGCATCTCATCACTTGCTCTTGCAGACACATGCACACACATACATGCACATAGACACATACATACATACATGTAAGGCCAAGCCAGCAGCAGCATACACTGACGCACCTTGTTAACAGACATCATGTTGGTGGTGAGAGTGCCGGTGTTGTCACTCTCACCATGCACATAGGTGTACATGCGCGCACATACATGCATGGCAGTAGTCCCAACACACACTCACGCACGCACCTTGTTAACAGACATCATGTTGGTGGTGAGAGTGCCCGTCTTGTCACTGCAGATGACAGTGGTGCACCCAAGGGTCTCCACGGAGGGCAGCGATCGCACACACACGTACACACACAAACCCAAATCCACACACACACAGACACGCACCTTGTTAACGGACATCATGTTGGTGGTGAGAGTGCCCGTCTTATCGCAGGAAATGAAAGTGGTGCACCCAAGGGTCTTGTCTCCAGAGGGCACAAAGCTCATGCACGCACGCGCGCGCACACACACACATGCACACACTCACGCACCTTGTTAACAGACATCATGTTGGTGGTGAGCGTGCCCGTCTTGTCACTGCAGATGACAGTGGTGCACCCAAGGGTCTCCACGGATGGCAGCGAGTGAATACACAGACACACACAGAGACACACACATATACGCACCTTGTTAACAGACATCATGTTGGTGGTGAGCGTGCCTGTCTTGTCGCTGCAGATGACAGTGGTGCATCCAAGAGTTTCTACGGAGGGCAGTGATCGCACGATGGCGTTCAGCCGCGCCATCTTCTTCGTTCCCAGAGCTAGACACCTGGAGGTGGGAGATGGGAAAAAGCGCGACAAATGAGTAGGGCATGGTGTGGTGTGGCGTGGCGTGGCGTGGTGTGGTGTGGTGTGGTGTAATGTGGTGCACCCAAGGGTCTCCACAGAGGGCAGGGACCGCACGATGGCGTTCAGCCGCACCATCTTCTTCGTACCCAAGGCTAGACACCTGGAGGTGGGAGATGGACACAGGGTGACAACAGGGTGACAAATGAGTAGGGCGTGGTGTGGTGTGGTGTGGTGTGGTGTGGTGTGGTGTGGTGTGGTGTGGTGTGGTGTGGTGTGGTGTGGTGTGGTGTGGTGTGGTGTAATGTCGAGCACCCAAGAGTCTCTACGGAATGCAGCGATGATTCCATTGCGGGTTGCAGGGGTGCAAGGGAGAGAGAGGGGATGGCATGATGTGGATGGATAACAGGCTGGCAGCTGGTGGGGAGCTTGCCCCTCAGCATGCAATGGGAAACATGGAGATGGAAAGGAGGCACTCACGTGGTCACGACTGCTGGCAGACCTTCGGGTATAGCAGCCACAGCTAGAGCGACCGCAATCTGTTGCCGAGGACGGGGAGGAGGCAGGAAAGGGGTAGACTTTAGAGGTGCCTCAAAAGTAGGATATGGCGGCCATAGCTAGAGCGACTGCAGTCTGTTGGAGAGGATGGGAGTGGAGGGGAGGTAGACAAAGGCGGAAGAAAGAGAGAAGAAACATAGCATATGTCTGGATACCATTGAAGGCAAGGCTACTGGTTCACGCAGGTGGAAAATACGCCTTGCCGCACGTATGGCATGCAGCTGTAATATACTTCAGAAAACGCTTGTCCGGTAAGGTTATGAACCAGGTGGGGCAAGAGTATGGGGTTTAGTGATGATGACGACCTTAAAATAGTAGATAGCGCCTCGAATGACGCCGCCGTGTGCAGGATCCTGGAAGTTTCTGATGTTGATCACCCACACGAGAATACACGCCACAGCTATGGCCTGCATAGAGGGATATAGGTTCATGAGAACAGCAACGGATGAGAGGTGCAGCAAGCAACACGAACTCGCTTGAACAGCGCATGGCGTGCACACATGCAAGGATGATGGGTGTGAGGCAGAAAGCCCGAGTTGCTTTCGGGCAGTGCAGCCCTATGTTGGAAGATTTGTTAGTCAGCTTGAAATCATTTCCCGAGTTGATTCGAAATGAAGGTGCATGCAACACGTACCTTGGAGAGGAAGGTGCCAAACTCGTCCAGCTTGCGCTTCAATGGGGTCATCTCCTGATGGACCATGAAGGGTGGTGGTATATGGGGTGCTGAAGAAACATGGGGGGGTGTTTTGAGGCGCCTCAAAGGAAAGTGACAAACTCGATTAGTTTTTGCTTTAGAGGGGTCATTTCCTGAAGGACCACGGAGGCAAGGGAACAGGCGGTGGAATATGGGGTTCCAAAGGACGGGGGGGACTGTTTTCGAGGTGTCTCAAAGAGAGGTGCGAAGCCAACTAGTCTTGGAGCATGGCTTACTCAATAAATAAGACTCACATTTGCTGGCTCAATAGAAGACTCACATCTGCTGACTCCGATATCGCATCACGGATTTTCCCAATGGCAGTCCTCCCTCCCGTGGCGATAACAATGGCTCGCACCCTCCCCACCGTCACCACGGTGCCCTGGGAGTATGTGAGCGGAGAGGGAAATAGTTAATACAATTATTGAGCCCAGTCAAGATCGCCCGTGGCGATCACAATGGCCCGCACCCACCCCACTGTCACCACCGTGCCCTGAGAGCGTGAACGCAGAGAGAAAAATAGTTGATGCAACAGACTTTAGAGACTTCTCAACACTCCTGACTGAGCGGGTGTGCGAGAAAACGATGGGGAGGAAAAGCAGGTGATAAGAAGGTGGGAGGCAATGTGGGAGGACGTAAGGAGAAGAGGATGCAGGTCTTGTCTTGATAGACTGACACTGCTGACTCTGTGCACAGCGCTGCTTGTGATGGGACGAGATCTGATCTGAGGTGCCTTCAATATTGCCTCATCGCTTGAATTGAAAGGGTACGGGGTGAGGGGACGTACGGAGAAGAGGATGCACGTCTTGTCTTGATAGACCGCTGCTGCTGACCGTGTGGTTCGCTTTGTCTTTGACACCGACCCACTCTCCCCTGCCAGCCAGCCATGGTTGTTACAAAAACACGAATCGGTGGTTTTGATATGTCTGAAAACTAGGCATGAAGCAAGACAAGGCACCTAATTGAAGTCTTGGATGAACTCAAACAAGCACCATGCCGTTCATTAAGTCGAGCAAACAACAAACAACAGAATGCTACCTGGCACCTTTCCCTCACCTGGCACCTTCACATCACCAAGTACCTACCTGTGACGATGGATTGGTCCGCTCTGAGCTGAGTGCTGAGCAGGGAGAGCACCCTGAGATCCGCATGCAGCTACCCATTCTGAGACATGGAGGCCACTCTTTCTAGTCGACTTCACAATGCAATGCAACTTCTTACCTGTGACGATGGATTGGTCCGCTCTGAGCTGAGTGCTGAGCAGGGAGAGCACCCTGAGATCCGCATGCAGCTACCCATTCTGAGACATGGAGGCCACTCTTTCTAGTCGACTTCACAATGCAGTGCAACTTCGTACCTGTGAGGATAGATTGGTCTGCTCTGAGCTGAGTGCTGAGCAGGGAGAGCACCCTGAGATCCGCATGCAGCTACCCATTCTGAGACATGGAGGCCACTCTTTCTAGTCGACTTCACAATGCAATGCAACTTCTTACCTGTGACGATGGATTGGTCCGCTCTGAGCTGAGTGCTGAGCAGGGAGAGCACCCTGAGATCCGCATGCAGCTACCCATTCTGAGACATGGAGGCCACTCTTTCTAGTCGACTTCACAATGCAATGCAACTTCTTACCTGTGACGATGGATTGGTCCGCTCTGAGCTGAGTGCTGAGCAGGGAGAGCACCCTGAGATCCGCATGCAGCTACCCATTCTGAGACATGGAGGCCACTCTTTCTAGTCGACTTCACAATGCAGTGCAACTTCGTACCTGTGAGGATAGATTGGTCTGCTCTGAGCTGTGTGCTGAGCAGGGTGAGCACCCTGAGGTCTGCAGGCACCTTGCCGCCCACTGCCACCCACACACAGCAAAGCAGAGCAGATAAGGCAGTAGATACAGACAGAGCGTTCAGGCGATTCAGCCAAGGCGGGTCAGCTAAGGCAGGGTAGGAAAGATGATACATCCAAAGTGATTCAGCCAAGGGCCAGCCAGTTGCAACAGTGTGAGAGGCTGAGAAATCAGATGCACTTGACTTCTTTAGAACGTGTAGCACGCACCTGACACTTCAACAATGTCGCCAGGGACCAGCTCTGCAGCTGGATGATCGCCAGCCTGCCTGCATCCTTGAGTCGACTCAGAAACCTACTTTTGATTGGTCTCCTCTCCAAGGCCCGCACGCACCTGACACTTCAACAATGTCGTCAGGAACCAGCTCTGCAGCTGGGATGATCGCCAGCCTGCCTGCATCCTTGAGTCGACTCAGAAACCTACTTTTGATTGGTCTCCTCTCCAAGGCCCGCACGCACCTGACACTTCAACAATGTCGCCAGGGACCAGCTCTGCAGCTGGGATGATCGCCAGCCTGCCTGCTTGTGCATGGCGATGGAAAAACAGGGAATTGGGAAGAATGGGGAAACAAAAACGGTGTAGATTAAATTCTGGGGGAGGAAAGGAAAAGAGTGAAGTGAAGGCTTAGAGATTTTCAAGGTAGGTGGAGTGAAGCAAGGAGCGGAAGGTGGAGGGAGGAAGGGGAAAAGTGTATGGCTGTAGGCTGGCCGCACAGTCACTATCGCTCGAGTTCAATTGCTTGCACTTGAAGGTTTTCTCCTGGTGATGCTCACATGTCACTCGAGCTGACTCACTCTCAAGCTCAGACTCGCACACACACGTACCCACGTTTACTCCCACACTCTCACTCTCACTCTCATTCACTCACTCACTCGCTCACTCACATCCTGTTGGGTCTAAGTTACGCTCTCTACCTTTTACCCACCGTTGCGCAGCACTGTGGCAACATCAGCTTGATATGCCTTCAGCTCCTGGTGAGAAACAGGAGAGGGGTGTGAGTGAGTGGTACGGGGTGTAAGAAAGGTGTGAGGAAGCGTTTAGAATGGAAGTGATGGTCAAACATTGTGAACTTAAGACGGGAGTTTTGGAATTCATTTCGCGAGGCGTCTCAATACCGCACATCATAGTTCAGAGAACCCTGGTTCAAAATGCGAGTATTTCTTAACACGTCGGTGGCAGTTGAGAGACACACAGTGACTAGCGCAGTGTGAACGTATAACAACGGGGAGCCGTACCAGCAAGGCGTGTACACACCTCTAATGCCTTCTCTGCGTTGGTCTCTGTGACGACCCCAACAGTGGTGTTGGCAATGAGAATGAGGAGGATCACCTGCTCGCATAGTGACTCGTATGTGCGTATAATACTAGGAGCCATACCAGCAAGGCAGCCAAGCACACACCTCTAATGCCTTCTCTGCGTTGGTCTCTGTCACGACCCCAACAGTGGCGTTGGCAATGAGAATGAGGAGGATGACCTGCGACAAGAGAAAGGGGAAGGGGCGGGGGGGAAGGGAAGGAAGAGAACAGGGAAGGAAGTGCTTAAGCTGTATGAACCTTGTGGTAAAAGCAGCGCTCTGAGCTTACACCAGCTTCAGCATGACGGCGTACCTGAGGCTTTGAGGGCGGCAATGGGCTTACAGCGGGCTCGACGAAGGCGTGCCAGCCGCTCTTTCCATTGGCAAGGGCGAGGAGGAAAAAGACGACGGCAGAGAAGAGACCAGGAGGACGAAGGCATGAGGGCAACGTTGAGCTTACAGCGGGTTCGACGAAGGCGTGCCAGCCGCTCTCCCCGTTGGCGAGGGCGAGGAGGAAGGAGACGACTGCAGAGACGAGGAGGATCTTCACCAGCAGGTCGTCAAACTGCTTCAGCACCAGCTTCCAGAAGGGCGTGCCTGGTGTGGTGATGATAGGTGGTGATAAGTGGTAAAATATGGTTAGAAGTGATGACAGGTGGTGGTGACTGGTGGTGATAGGTGGTCACGGACTGCTCCAGGTGGTTCTAGGTGGTGCTAGGCAGTGATGGTGGTGATGGTTGGTGACAGATGGTGATAGGTGGTGACAGGCGGTGATGGGTGATAATATCATGGGATCTTATGGGCGTGGGCGGAACTCATGGATAATGGCTGTTGGATGGTGGTGGATTGTGGAAAACAAAACAAACACGGATCATCAGTAGCCATCTGCCAATATTGAAACATGGATAACAAACTAGGGATGATGGGATGGGGCTTGACGAGCTAGGCAAGCAAGGCGTTCTCACCTTCTTCCTTGGGGGCCTCTGCAGGGTTGAATGGAGGGCAGCATTGTTCCCAGTGTCCACAACAACCACGGGCCACGGCCATACCACAACAGAACGGGAAAAAGGGAAGAAAATAAATGAAATTCGATCAGTAAACAGGACTGAGAACACGATCAGCAACGAGACAGGGGAACCTTTTGTGGCGAGACGGTAAAAGGTGGGCTTACAACGGGGACAGGCTGACTAAGTCTCACCATTCCGTCCGTAGGTGCTTCGACTCTGCTCCACCTGAGCTTCGGTGAGGCCTGTGTTCTCGTCTACTTGAAAATGTGCCAGAACCTGGTGGGGTTTCACACAAGCAAAGTGGACCGACGGCTGTGATGGCTCAGCGGAACCAATGTACGGTCAAGATGCGACAGGACGAGCGTAGCGGGTAAAAAACAGCCTCGGCTCACAATGGCTTGTCAATTCGAAGCGCGGCAACGAAGGAGTGGATCTACACTACATCATTCACGCGACGGCAGGACGTGGCAAAATGTACTCATGGCTAATTTCAACTCAAGGCTCTACTCAGTCCAAACTATCTAGGCTAGATCCACCGACCTCGTGAGTCTCGGCGGCATGAGCGGCGTCCATCTCTGAAAAACACTTCTCTGACCCTCTCCTCCCCGAACGTATTATTTCGCACCCTCCCTTCTCCGACCCTCCTTTCTCCAACCCTTGGCCTGCTCCGTGCAAGTCCCAATTCCCTATTAGTTGAATGCAGTTCTCCTTTCTCGCGGTTCCGCGACCCAAGGATTCAGGTCAAGTCGGTGTCGCTAAACCAGCATCCTCCTGCAGCTAGCCGCGTCCCTACGCATGTCAGACACGGGAATCGCTTCTCGGGATTCGTCAGGCTACCGCAGGCGAGCAGAAGAGTAATCCGAAAACTTTCACAAGCCACCATCAGTCAGTGACTGTTGCGTTACAGAAATTGGTTCGATGATCTCGAGGCTGGCAATGCGGTCCTGGGTTCGACAACTGCTGAAGGCGAATAATCCCCGTCACAGACACTTTCGTAGCAACTCATACGCTGCCAAGGAGATACTTTGCAAACAACTAACCGCTTTCGAATACCTTTGTAGATGTTTACTGAGTTCAGCGTCATCAACCATCTGCATATAGACACACACAGAAGCAAGATGTTATGCCTTAATCATGCCTTTAATATTTGGCATCCTCTTTGTTGGTGTCCTTCCTTTACATGCATTGCTAATATCATTACCGTATGTTTGTATTACAATATAACATGTGCACTACCATGTATACGGGATTAGAAACGGTTCTCCCCATCCACGTCTCCTTATCTTCTGCAGCTTTCTTGGCCATCTGCTAACACCTGTATTGAGTTGTGTGGCGTCTTCTCTCTTCCAAGTAATTGCCACAATAATTCCAGGATCATCTCCATTGTTGTTGGCGTTGCTGCCATTGGTGCTGCTGCCTTCTACGGCTTCCAATGAGCGGTCAGGGGAGACTCTGGATTGCTAATAAGTTAGATGAGTTTGGTCCAGTTACAAACTCTTTACAAGCCCTTGAGACACTCTGCAGTACATACAGAATGCAGTGCAAACTGCGAATGTGTGGATGCATTATGATGCAATATCTCAATCATCCTGCTACTGTGAAACTCAAAAGAATTCTAGATGCATACACCCACGCAAAACGATGTTTACCTCTACAACTCAACGCAGCACCATGATCTTTTTGTTCACATCAACGTAGGTACCGGTGGTACTTGACACACTGTACAAGACTGGCTGTTATCTCATTGTTGCAGCACCACTCATCTCAAGTCATGAGAAGGGGCTCCTTCTTGCAACTCTGCAGCCGCCAGATCGTGAGGTGAGGTGACTCGCGATGCACACCTAAAAATAGCAGGCCATTCCCTCCCTCACTGATGTTCTACTCCTCATCTCAAGTCATGAGAAGGGGCTCCTTCTTGCACCTCTGCAACGGTCTGAACCATGTGAGCGAGAAGGAATGGCAACGAGAGGGGAAGAGGGGAAATTTATGCAGCACACAATGGCATGACATTCACACGTGGACCTCAAAAGAGCATTTGAAATCTTCCCTAATGCCCAGCGACTAGACCATACACCCACTCGGTTTATCCTTGCCCCACCCCTCGCCTCCCCTTCACACTTGCAGCTACTCTGGGTCGATGCGCTGCTGTGCATGCCCTACCTGCTCATACGCCCACTCCTCTTGTGACCTTGCTACATGGCATTTGCAGCAATTTCAGAAACGTCCTCCCTCTCACATCGTTGAAGAACTTTTGCAGCTTCTCTGCTCCGATGCCCTGCCGTGCATGCTCTGCCAGCTCATACGCCCACTCCTCCTCCCCGCCCGCCCCACGCGCCCCTTTCACCAAAATCACATATCTGGGAAGCAGCGCAGTGGGAGGGATGCAGAGAAAGAGGTTGGGAGAAAAGGGCAGTGAAGGTATATTAGTGAAACTGCTTTGCTCTGCATGTGAGACTCTCCTCCACGTTCCCAGACTGCGGGTGCCTTCACTCCCCCTTGCTATCTTTGAGCCTCAGCAAACGTAGACCCTTTATTCCCCAATCCTCCTATTCATCCATTCCCCACGCCCCTCCGCACCTAAGTTTCTCCATGCGTTTATGACTCTCCTCCACGTTCCCAAACTGCGGGTGCCTCTTCTCCCCACCTGCTGTGTCTGAGGCACCTCATAAGATCAACACACCCTCAACTCCCCCAATCCCACTATTCCCTACCCCCCTCCCCGCCGCACCTATGCTTCTCCATGCGTTTAAGACTCTCCTCCACATTCCAAACTGCGGGTGCCTCTCCTTCCCCGCAATATGCTTGAGCCGCCCCATAAACAGACCCTCACCTCCCCTACTCCCCCTATTCCCCAACCTGTCACTTTGCCGCACCTCTGCTTCTCCATGCGCTTTAGGCACTCCTCCACGTTCCCAAACTGTGGATGCCTCTTCTCCCCACCTGCTGTGCCCTAAAAACCTCATAAACAGAACCTCGTTTTCCCCAATCCCTCTATTCCTCCCCCACCCCTCCCCTCCGCACCTCTGTTTCTCCATGCGCTTTAGGCTCTCCTCCACGTTCCCAAACTGCGGGTGCCTCTCCTCCCCCCGCCGCACCCCCATTGCCCCCAGCAGCGCCCATAGCTTCTCTGCACGGAGTGGGGAGGGGGAATCGGGGGCGGTGGGAGGGGGGGAATAGGGGAGAAAGCGGAGGGGGGGTTTTTTGGGGGGGGGATGCTCCGCCCAGCGCCCTTTATAAGAGCGCACACCACAGTCGTGAACGCGCTGCCTGCTGCCTGCTCAGGAGGTGGCAATTGAGTGCACTAAAAAGACACGTCATAGAACCGCACCTGCCGGGATGCTTCCTCCAGCGCCTTTAATCAACGCGCACACCACAGTGGTGAACGCGCTGCCTGCTGCTTGCTGCTTGCTCCAACTCACGAATTGACTCGAAAGACACCTCACATATGCGCACCTGCCGGGATGCTCCCTCCAGCGCCTTTAATCAACGCACACACCACAGTGGTGAACGCACTGCCAGCTGCTTGCTCCGGTGTATCCACGAATCGCGACAGCACCGCCGCTGGTAACCGGCTCTGTAACACATACTCCTTCGCGCCTCCCCCTCCTCCCCCTCCTCCCCTACCTCCTCCCCCATCCCCCCCGTCCTCTCCTCCCCTTCCCCCTCCCTCGTCCCCGTCATGTCCCCCTCCCCCTCCGCCTCCCCCTCTTCCCCGCGTCCCTCTCTCAAGCTCCCTCATATCGAACCCCAGAGCGGCCGGGAAGCGCGCTTGTGCCTCCTTTATAATCACACCCGGCAGCCCCGTCACGCGCCGGCCGGCCAGCTGCGCGGAGATCACTTTATTGAGCTCGTCCCTCAATATAGGCACACCCGGGTGGCTGCTGTGCTTAAAGAGCACGTGGCGCATCACCGCGCCGATCGCCTGCTCGCGCTCCTCCCGCGAAATGTGGCCCGACTGCGACGCGACTGGTTGGGACACCATCTCCTTGACTGCTACAGCCCGAGTGACGCTACAGTCGAAGTGACGCTACAGCCGAGTTTCGCTAAAGCCACACTTCAGCAAGACTCCGAGACGAACGACGAATTCTAGCAAACGCAGTACCGCCGAAGACTCCTTCTCCCCTCGGTCGCACTACCCTACATCCGCTGCTGCTGCTCTTTGCGTTGCCCTTGCGATGATGGCTGCAGCGACGGCGACAGCTTTCACACGAAATCCATGCGCCTAGCAAGCCGCTGTTAGTGCGAATGATAAGGATGCGACGCGACGGGCAGACTGCGTGAAGGGACGAGATAGACGAGGGAGGGTTAGACCGCAAGCACTAGTGAACAAAAAAAGAAATCGCCTAATTTGAATTGGGCGAAAGGATGCTGGGCTGGTATGAATCGCCTGTGTTGTGACGAATCTGCGATTATGTCGGTAACGCGATAGCTGTGCCACTGTAGCCCTCCGAATTCCATATTACCTTCTTCGTCGTGTCGTACACAATTAGCGTAATGTCGAGTCCAGCTCGCAGCGAGGATGAATCTCGAGTCTGCCTTCGCCCTCCGCTTCCGCATGTTCGCGAATGGCGACAAAAGCACCCACCCGCTTCTCAAGCCCCCCGTGAGTCGGGACAAAGCACGTCGCAGCGGTAAAGCCGAGCTGTGCGATCTATTTCCCCGCAACCACCAGACCGTCACGAAACGCAAACGACTCCTAGAACGTAACGGTGGCAGGTGTAAACTACTCTCCTCGACTTTACGTTCCGACTTAGCTTCTCTCGCACCTCCTTTCGCAACGTGGAACTTTGAGAGACCGCCTCCTTTCGTAGTAGTTTCGCAAAGCGTTGACCGCGTTGACCGCGTTGACCGCCTTGTCTCGCGTCTGCATTTCCCCAACTTCGATTGGAGGTCACCTTCCTTTGTCGCGTAGTAGGAGATGAGAGAATCGCGCACCACGATACGTTCGTTTCTATCACCGACGACCGGGAACGGGCGAGGAAATGGGGAACGCGGAACAGAAGGGGCATGTGACAGTAACGGAAGAAGGGGAGCATGTGATTATAACGGAGGCGGCAGAGCGCGACGGGATCTGGGCCGTCGACGGCGAAGGAAGTGGGGACGGGGACGTGGGTGTACAGGTGGATGCTTACGTGGACGCTGACGTGGATGACGCTGACGTGGACGCGTTCAGCGAGGACATGCACCTGCTGTGGGACGTTTTGGCGATCGACGACGCAGCGCAAAGGGCGGCGCGAATGGCGGAGCTGGGCTACGAGGTTTATATCGAGGATGGACTGGAAGGATACAGGAAAGCGGGAGTCGAAGATTCGACTAACAGCGCGATTCCCGCCCCTCTGCCGGGAAACGCGCTAGATGCGCGGCTGGCGGAAGAAGCGGCGGAGAGACGACAGCTGGAGCAGCGACTCGAGTCGGCTCAGAAAGCTGTCGGCGCGCTGCTGACGTGTCTGAAGCGTGTTCGCCACGTGCTCGAGGCGCCAGGGGATGGGCGGACGAGAGGAGAGGGGGAGCGGGAGGGGAAGGGAGGCGCGCAGGAGGTGACGGGAGGCGCGCATGGGGGGAAGGGAGGCGGAGGGGAGATTAAGCTGGAGTGGGCGATGGTGGAGTGTGTATCGACCATGGCGGCTATAGAAGCGCGAGTGGCGCAGCAGAGACAGGCGGAGCACAGGCAGGCACAGCCCAGGCAGGCGCAGCGGGAGGGAAGGGCGGGGGGTGAAGTGTGGGGCGAGGGGGGTGGTGGTCGGGGAGCGGGGAAGATTGAGGCGATTCGGGAAACTGGGGATGGGGCAAACGGAGGGGGTGGATTGGCAGTGACTGGCCGGATGGAGGAGGGGAGTGAGGTGGGGGGAGTGGGAGGTAGGGGGAGAGCGGGGGGGGCGCAAGGAGTGGGGGGAATGGGAGGAGTTGGAGGGGCAGAGGGAGTGCAAGAGATGAGGGAGAGTGAGCTGTTGAGAGAGGTGAGTGAGGTGAGGCGGGAGAACGAGGCACTAAAACAGCTGCTGCTGCTGGCGTTTCAAGGGCAAGGAGCGGCTGATCTGCCCCAGCTGCTACCACAGCTGCTAGCTCAGTCCCACATCCCCCCAGAACCGGCAGAAAAAGTAGCATACGCAGCAGAAACAGCACTTGCAGCAACCATGAGTACAGAGACAACCACAGATGGCAGCACTGCAGCTACCAGCAGTAGTGATGCCGGCACAGGCACTGATACCACTGCCACCTCCACACCCTCGTCCCATCCCATCCCCATCCACCCCACCCCTGCACCCCCACACGCCCGCACCTCCTCCCGCCCCCACCCGCACTTCCCCTCGCTTATTCCCCCACCTGCAGCTGCGCTCGCTCTCCTTCTCCCGTCACACTGCCAAGCCTGATTCCACCGCGCATACCACTCGCCACGCCTCACCCCATACCACCCGCCACGCCTCCCCCCATGCCTCCCATCAGCCGGCAATGCTCCGATCCCTGTCCAGCAGGCCCCTGGGCAAATGGCTTCGATGGGCCGATGCCGATGGGGGGAAGCGGGCGGATGATGTGTTGGTAAACGCTGATGCTGCTGTGGAAGCTACTGCAGAGAGAAGGCTCGATGCTGGGGAGACTGCAGCTGATGGTGATAGCAGCGGTGCTGCTCCTGAAAGCGCTTTGGATGCTGAACGTGTTCTTGTTGCTGATAGTGCTGTTTCTGCTGCTGCTGCTGATGATGATGGTGCTGCTGCTGCTGCTGCTGCTGCTGATGATGATAGTGCTGCTGCTGCTGATCGTGCTGTTGCAGCAGATGAAAGTTCAGCTGCTGCTGATGTTTCTGCTGCTCCTGATAGTTCTGCTGCTGCTGATATTTCTGTTGCTGTTAATAGTTCTGCTGCTGCTCATATGTTGGCTGCTGCTGCTGATAGTTCTGCTGCTGCTGCTGATAGTTCTGCTGCTGCTGCTGATAGTTCTGCTGCTGCTGTTGATAGTTCTGCTGCTACTCATATTTCGGCTGCTGTTGATAGTTCTGCTGCTACTCATATTTCGGCTGCTGCTGATATTTCTGCAACTGCTACTACAGATAGTGCTGCTGCTGCTGATAGTGCTGCTGCTGCTGATAGTGCTGCTGCTGCTGATAGTGCTGCTGCTGCTGACAGTATTGCTGTTGTAGCAGCTCCTGCTCTTGCCACAGCCATCTACTCTACAGAGCTACAGGCGCCAGTCTACAGCAAGCCACAATCAGCAGCAGCACTATCAGTAGCAGATACAGTCTGCAGGCCAAGCGAACAGGAGGAGCAGGCGAGTGGCCCTCTTGAGGAAGGTAGCAGCCAGGAGGGTCGATACGACTCTCCATCCCTCGTGCCTGCTTCTGCTGCTTCTGGTGCTTCTGGTGCTGCTTCTGCAGCTGCTTCCGGTGATGGTGCTGCTGATACTGCTGCCGGTTATGGTGAAGTAGCTGAATCTACACCTGGCCTCCAAGAAACATCTCCTGCACAGAATCAGCAAGAGCCGTCGCTTCTGCAGACCCAGCAGGAAGCGCCACAAGCGTCACTCCCAGCGGTCCAGGTTATCCCAAAAGCAGGCGGCAGGCAGGAGGAGATTTTTGAGACGTCTCAAGAGGCGTCGTTTCTACAAACCCAGCAGGAAGCGTCACTCTCAGAGGCCCAGGTTATCCAAGAGCCATCGCTTCTGCAAAACCAGGGTGAAGCGGCACAAGGGTCACTCCCAGTGGTCCAAGTTATCCCAGAGGCAGGCGGCAAGCAGGAGCAGGAGGAGGCGAGTGACATGCCACACGAGTCAGGCCCCGTTCAACCAGAAGGAGAGGGCGAGGGAAAGGCGCAGAGGGAGGAAACCAGGCAGATGGATGATAGGGAGCCAAGGGAGGAAACGGTGAAGAAGGATGAAGCGGAGGTACAAAGGGATGGGGATAGTGGAGCAGGAGTACCGACGGCAAATGGGGAAGCAAGGGAGAGTGCGGGGGAACGCGAGCCTGCAGCGTCCAGCCACTCCAGCAGCCCAACCCAGCATGATGACGCTCATTCCTCACATGTGAACAGTGATACCAAGACCAACCATTCCCATTCCCATACCCATTCCTCACATCCGCACTTCTCGCACCCTCACTTGCCACGTCTGCCGCTCAGTAGCACCTTCTGCCTTCCCAGCAGGTTACACAAGGCGAATCCAGACAATCCTGATGGTCCCGACACAGCACGCCACGTCAGCTGCTTTTCTGGTGAGAGTGGTGCTGACTCAGCAGGCCACGTCAGCTGCTTTGCTGGCGAGAATGGCGCTGACTCAGCAGGCATCGTCAGCTGCTTCGGAGGTGGCAGTAAGAGCAGCAGCAGCAGCGGAAACCAGCACACACCAAGACCAAAACGAGGAGGATCGTTCAGGGAAAATCGCACAGGGACTAGAATCTTTCTCAGAAGAAATGCAAGCGAGCGGGTTTCTGGCACTTCCCCTCCTAGCTCTCTGCACCCTGTATCAGGCAGCGTGCCTCTTGTCGAGTCGGATCAAAAGGCACCGGTGCAACCTGCCTCCTCACTGCCAGCCAGCCACCCGCACCCTGCCACAGCTGCTGCCCCTTTGCCGGTGACAAGCGCAGCAGAGGGAAGAGGGCCTCTTGATTCCAGTCAGCAATCACTTTCTGGTCCCAAACCCAGCGACCCGCAGTCTGCTGCTGCCGCTTTGCCGTTGTCAGGCACAGCAGCAGGAAAAGGGCCCCGACGACTGGTTGTGCGCCGGTTCTTGCATCGCATTGGTGGTGAAAGGAAGCGTGCGGCTGGCAGTGGCACGAGTGGGAGCGGGAGCGGGAGCGGAAGCGAGGGCGGGAGTGGGAGTGGGAGTGAGGCCGGGAGTGGGAGTGGAAGTGGGAGTGGGAGCAGGAGTGGGGCTTGGAGTTTCAGCAGCAGCAGCGGTCCCAGCAGAACAGAGTCAAGGAAGAGTGGAGAATACCAGCCGAGAGAGCATGTACTGGCAGAAAACGGGAATGAGAGTGCTCAGAGCTCACAAGACACTCACACAGCCACAGCAACAGCCACTGCCACGGCTACAGCTACAGCTACACCCACCACCACAGCTACAGCCGCACATGCAGCTACATCTACAGCTTCAGCTGCACTCGCCGCTTCCGCTGCTACGTTGACTGGTGCTATGCCGGGCCTTGCTCCCATCACATCAGCAGCAGAACATGCCGAATCATCTGTCGTCCATGCCTCACCTTTGTCCTTATCAGGCGAAGGGGGCGGAGCAGGAGGTGCAGCAGCAGGACGTCCAGCAGTAACAGCAGGAGGAAGAGGAGGAACGGCAGGAGGAGCAACAGGCGGGTGGGGTGCTGCTTTCCTTGCCTCTGCTAGTACCAAACGTGCTGCTGCTGCTCCTGCTGCTGTCACATCCACAGCTACTGCTATTACTACAGAAGATGATCTCCTTGAGCCTGCTCACTCACTCACAGTCGGAGACCAATTACCAGACCATCCTGCTGCTGCTGCTACTGCTGCTGCTGCGAGTGCGGAGGTGGCTGATGCTGATGGTGCTGCTGCTGTTGCTACTGCTGCTGCAACAGCTGATGCTACCGTTGGTACTGGTGGTGCCGGCAACATTGCATCTACCTCCGTGTATGTCTGTCCGCGCTCTTCTCTCACCTGTGCCTTTCACGTCTAAATTGTGTGCTGCTCACCTGTGTACATGTGGAAGTCGTGTGCTGCTCACCTGTGTACATGTGGAAGTCGTGTGCTGCTCGGATGTGCCTCACAAATACACGCCTTGTGCTCCCTGTGCCCCTTCTGTCCCCGCCTACCCCCTTGACCTGCCTCCATAACTCAATCATGTGTCTCCCATCTCCTCCCCTCCCCTTCCCCTCGCCATCCCCCGCATGTCCGCCCTTCCTGTCCCCTCCTCACCCACAGCAAGCGAGTTTACTCGCGACGACTGTTAGCATGAGCAAGCAAGAGATGGTAGCTTCGGTCCAAGTGCTCCCAGGAGGCATGTTTTGGAGACGTCTCATGGCAAATGCCTTTCCACACAGCGAGCGAGGTCACTCGTTAGCATGAAACAATCAAGTGATGGCGGCAAGGGTCCAAGCGCTCCCAAGAGGCGGCCATTCAACCATACGTTGGGAGCTATAAGTACTCTCCCGACGTAGCAACTTCGTCTAATTAAATAATTATACAATATGTGTATAAGCTTGTATAAGGTAGAGAGCCTTGCGGGGGGAGAGGGACGCCTGCACACTGGGACATAAAACATTCCACCTCGGGTGCGGACGTCCTGACTCGCTCCTTGTTTGACATGTATATTCCTGGCTACGATGTCTGGGTTGTGGGTGCTTTTAATTCTTTGCTTCTGTGGAAGACCTCGTTCTGTCGAAACGTGAATAACGTTTCCGTTCACGGATCGAGATTAGACGCCTCACGTTCGTTCATCTTGCCTCTGGAAGAAGTGACGCCCATAGCCATGACATCATTGGCGGTGAACTGTTACGTTAGCGGAGCAGTACGCCGACTATTGCATACAGGGATAAACTACCGTAGCGCACGGCACATACCTCTAGATGTTGATCAAACAGCGCAGACTAACGAATGCGAGATGTCTTGAGCCTTATTCATCAATGTCACCGAGGCTAGACACTACACGAAACATGAAGTAGCCATCGAACACGAAGGTAAAGCCGTCGAACTAAAGCTAAGAAACATCAGTGCTTGATGTCGTAGAGCAGAGCCGAGGAGGCGATGCCTGGTCCTAGGGCAGAAGCCGAACGTGGGCTCTAGCTACTCTCCGCAAGGCACTCACGTGGTCGTCGTCAGTTGAATGATGCCTTCGTGTGCGGCGAACTTGAGAGCCTTGCGAAGAAACAGCTGGTCTCGCTAAGACGAGCCAAATCAGCTTTGCGAAAATTACCCGAATTAGTTACAGCATTTCTCCAGCGTCGCAGTAGATTGAATCTTTCTGTTTGGCTTGGATTTTCCTCCCCCATGGGCTCTGGTGTACCTGACACAGCCCCCCATAAAATGGCGGGAAATGTTTTTGCCACTTGCAGCAAATTCTAGGTTGAATCACTTTACAGGCTCGTTCTGTACGCAATAGAAAATACACGTACAACAAACGTGTACTGTATTACTTTCTAAACAACAGAACAAAGCTTTGTTTACATGACAAATGACGTGAGATACAGTACCAATTTGCTTCCTCATTGACTGCTGCAACTGGTCCACCTCAACAGGACAGCATTGCAGTGAAGAAGGAACCACTCCACCAGATGCGCCCACTCAACCTTGTGAAGATGTGCTTTCATTAGAAAAGCTAATCCAAACATGACACCAATGTTCTCAAGAGACTAGCAGCAATTGGTGTTCTGTTGCAACGGCCTGCTTTCTCCAGGGCGCACAGTCTGACCACCACCCTTGTTCCCGAGGGCTGGCTGACTCGCCATCCTGCAGCCACATCCACAGACAGCACTGTAAGGTTGAAATGTAACAACCAATTTTAAAATTATGCCAACAATGTTGATCTATACCTGTTCTTGATCTCAGCAGCCATGGTCATGAAAGCCTGCTCGACGTTTGTGGCATTCTTCGCACTCGTTTCTAAGAATGGGATGCCAATTTCGTCTGCAAATGCCTGCAAACCACAAGGAAAATCAGAAGAACCCACTCACAGATGATGCAGTCATGAGCTGCAAATTGATGCAACTAAAGCGACTCACACACTGCTCACCTTTGCAGTCGCGTAGTCCACAACCCTTTTGTTTGTCAAGTCGCACTTGTTTCCGACCAAGAGCTTGTTAACGTTCTCGCTGGCGTAACGGTCAATCTCGTTCAACCATTGCTTTACATTGTTAAAGCTTTCCTGATCTGTGACGTCGTAAACAACCTGCAGGGACAGTCCAGTAAGCTTTATGCCATCTTGGACCACAATGGGTGGACCGAATGCGTGCTGAGCACGAAATGACAACCGCCACTCACAATGATGCCGTGAGCACCGCGGTAGTAACTACTTGTGATCGTTCTGAAACGCTCCTGACCTGCAGTATCCCACTGTTACAGCCACACGCAACAACCCTTCAACTTCCGTAAGCCACGCCAGAGTGAGAAGAGTACAAAGCTAATCCACGACGCCACTCACAATTTGAAGCTTGATAGTCTTGCCGTCGAGCTCGACAGTACGGATTTTCTGAAAAAAGACAGAGCGGACAACTGTCAGAGAATGTTTGTGACGTCATCCTGCTGAAATTGTTGAAACATTCAACCTTGAGCTTACAAAGTCAACTCCGATTGTACTGATGTAGCTTTCGAGATAGGAATCGTCCTGCAACGCAACAATAGGTTCTTAGCGTGGATGTTGTAGAGCGGCATAGCTCCCCCATGAAAACTGCGAATTCACCCTGTCTAGGAGTATTACCGCGAATCGTAAAAGGAGGCAGGACTTTCCGACTCCAGAATCACCAATCAGCAACAACTTGAACAAGTAATCACTGCATCAGCAGCGACATCGGAAATACAGTCTTAGAGCCACAGTACTAGACAGGACAATGGACAGCTCCCAACGGCAAAGCGAGAACGCAGGGGACGCACTATTCGGGATTCATGTTGCTCAGGATCTGGTAGCGGAAAGCTTCTGCAGCTGAACCTGCGGATTAGGCGACAGCGTCAGATGCGTACTGCGAAGCGTCTTGGACGGGCAACGAAACGCTCCAGTCACTCTTGTCCTTCGTGACCTCTAACGCCTGCCAACAGGATTCGTTCTACCTGGTTTGAGAAAGGGATCTCGTTCCCCTTGCTGCGATTCCTTGATGTGTTTGTGGAGTTATGTGGCGAAATCGAGGTCGTGTTGAGGCTGCTCCACGAAGTTCGGTATGAAGTGAAGCAGGTTGGGCGGGTCTCCATACCACATGATCCGTGTTCTGTTCTGTTTTGTAATTTGTAACAAAATAAATTGACACAATGATAGGTTGTCATCATTTTTTCATGCAACAACTTAAATTCAGGAAGCAAAGTTAGACGCCATAACCAATGCAGTCTCAACTCTTTATTAATATGAACATTAATACAACATATGTGGGTAATTTACTGTGCATTTGCAGCAATGCTCTGCACCAAAGATGGTGAGACTGGCTCCCCACCCAAGTAGATGTCAAAGAGGGCAGCAAGAAGCCCGGGCGACTCAAAAGTGGCTGAAGCTGCAGAGGGAGCTCCCCCAGCAGTCACATCGTCAGCAAATGCCACCTGATGTATTGCAAAACACACGGAGCAAATTTACTTGCATGTATTGAAAGGTCTGGCAGAAAGGAAACATCAAAGATAGAAGTGATTGGCCGAAGGTTAGTTAATATTAGCATACCTGAAGTGTAGATGGCTGACGCCAGGTGATGTACACCCCAGTGTTCTTCTTAAGCGACCTCTCCTTGAACAGCTGTCCGAACGCCTCCAAGTCACCCAGGCCCTCCCCAGCTGCTGTGAGGCGTGGGGCGAGCTCCTCTGTGAGGGCGTTCCAGAACTGGTCTGACCCCACGTTGCGCGCCAGGACAATCACTATGGCCTTCTCACACGGCGCTGCACGGAACAGCAGACAGGAGATGCAGGTTAGAGGAGAGCAAAAGAGATAGACTGTCAAGCAAGCTAAGTGATAGGACGATGGGCAGAGGCATGGGCAGCACAAGAGAGTGCAGTCAGGTAACGGCATCAATGGAATGGACAGATGTGTGGAGTGCAGAACAGATGTGTGCGTGTGCGTGTTGGGGGGGGGGGGGGGGGGGGGGGAGGGGGAGGGGAGGGGGAGGGGGTGTGTGTGCGTGTGTGTGTGTGTGTGCGTGCGTGCGTGTGTTTGCGTTCCATCACAGTGGGAGGGCGCCTAACGGATCAGGACGTACTGGAGGCGACGGCATCGAAGAAGGCTTTGTCGGTAGGCTTGCCCTTCCAGCCCGCCAGCACATCCAGCAGCTGCGGTTCAGCGTATACACCCACTCCATACACCTTCACCGCCAGGGGCCCAAGCTTCTTCTCCCGCACCCCTGCATCAAACCAGTAGCAGCAGCAGCAGCAGCAGCAGCAGCAGCAGCAGCAGCAGCAGCAGCAGCAGCAGCAGCAGCAGCAGCAGCAGCAGCAGCAGCAGGAGCCGGAGCAGGAGCAGGATGCAAATCCGAACAGAGGAGAAATAGAAGCATAGCATATGTGGCAACGGTTTGGGGAATCGAACATTCAATTCCCGCTATGCCTGGAAAATCCTATGCCCTCGTGGTTCCCCTGCATGCCACCTCGCCGCCCTTCTTGTATTCCCAGCCTCAAGCCCCTGCTTCCCCAGCCTCAAGCTCCTGTCCCCACGTCTCCTGCAGGTGCAGCACTCACCAGTTCCCAGCAACGAGAGGTTCTTGGAACCACCAGGGGCCGCTAGAGTGACTGGGAAGTTGATCTTGGTCGCTGGCTCCGTCACCACTGCAGGACCACACGGCACAGAGTGCAGGGCACAGCACAGGGCGGAGAGCAAAAAGCACAGAGAGCGAAGTGCAGGGCAGAGAGAAGAGGAAGAGAGTCGAATCAACCCGTCTGATGGAATGAATGAGATGTGAGAGGAGAGAGGGATTGGAATTTAGATCGTTGGAAGCGAGCTTTGAGGTAACCTCTCGTGAGAGAGCTTTGAGGTGCGCGAGGACAAGGGTGGAAGGCTAATTGCCTCGCTTTCAACAAACGCTGGCAGGCATAACCAGTCGACGGCGGTTCAATCCCCGCTGGCATGATCAATCATTGTTGGCACCATCAATAGCTGCTGGCCTTTTGAATCAGCACTGCTTCAACACGCATGGGGCAATAACCGACTGGGGCCCACTCACCGTTGGCTCGAACGCTGCTGCGAAGCGGCTGGAGGGTAACCCGAGCGGATTTCTTCGCCGAAGCGACCTGGAGCCCGCGGAAGGATGTGGAAAGCGGAAGGGCCAAAGCTGCAGTGCTGCGAGCTGCTAGTGAAGAGCTCTTGGACGAAACGCAGGCGACCGTGGCGGCAGGCGCCAGGGCGATAGAAGCAGCGGAAGCGAACGCCATGGCGAGGCGAGAGATGATCAAGCGAGCGTTGTCAAGCCTGCTGGAGAAAAATCTCTCCCGAATCACAACAGCAGTAGGGAATGCTGATCAAAGTTGAGAATGCAGTTTTCAGTCTGCTGTTATGCTTGGAAGGGAAAGGCAGCAGCAACAGCAGACTTGGGCGGAATGTGATCATAGGGGTGTGATACAAGGGAGTGTATCAGAATGTGACGTGTCGTGACTGTATGAGAGAGATGGACCTGGGAGATCTGATCAGTCCTGAGTCTGACGTGGAGAGAGGTTTAGAGATGGCTGCTGATTGGCGCGCGACGATTGACGGATTCGGCTGTTGTGCGAAATCGATGGAAACTCTCGCGAGCCACACACTGCTGCCTCTTTTTTTTTTTTTTTTTTTTTTTTTTTTTTTTTGGGGGGGGGGCATAACGCACTATACAATGCATTACATCCACAGTCGTGACTGAGAGGGAGGGAGAAAGCAGGTCTACCTAATGAGGTCTACACTGTTCTCCCTGTAAGCCCTTTACGGCGGCTTAAAGAAAGTGCTGGGTATCTCCCATATCGAGCTGAACTCCTTGTTCCACGTCAGATTCTCGTCCTGGTCGCAAATGCGGCTCAACGCCACCGCCTCGCCAGCTGTCAGATTTGTCCAGCCTCCTCCGACCCCACCACGCCTCTGTCCTCTGCTGCTCCCACACCCTTCACTGTAGATCCGCACATGCCTTCTGAAGTTCGCCCCTATCTTCCGGGCCACTCGTTTTGGTTCAAAAGTTTTCTTCCTGAAAACCGCGTCACACCTCTCCAGCCAAATATGCCTAAAAGTTACCGCGATAAGTGTGGACTCCGAGAATCCGGAAGTTGTGCTGTCTTCAGCAAAAAGCAGCTCTCCCAGCGTTCCCACCGCCCTCATTGGGTTAATCAGGCGAAGCGAGTCTTGAAGCGCGCCGCAAATCTCTTCAACCACCGGGCAGCTCATCAAACAGTGTGTGGCCGATTCTTCCTGACTGCAGTATGGGCAGCATGCACGCGAGCCGAAGAAGGCCAGCCTACTGCCCACTTGCAGGTTGTGACTGTGCAGCCTCAGCAGTACCTCCCTTGCCTTGGCTGGGGTTGCCAGCGAGTCCCTCTTCTTGATGGCCCTCTCCCAATCAATCTTCCCTCCCCAGCTCTCTTCCCATTTCTTCTGCTGCTTAGGCTGCTGCACTGGCTTCCTGAGCAGATGTCTCAGCTTTCTTTGCGCCGTTGGTTTGCCTTCCGTGCACAGAAACGAGGCCCGTAGCTGCGTAAGCGGGTCACCCGCCTGCCCCAGTACATAGCCTCAGCTGGTCACCATCGGGGTCAGGACGCTTAGCCTCGACGGTGGCTGAGCTGCTGTTCCCAGATGCTTTATCTTTCCTTTGTCATCCACAACCACCCTCTCACACCTCAGCTCCTCATTCTCCGTCAGCACCACTTGGAGGTAGCTTTGGTTCCCTGTCACCGATTTCCCCACTTTGACCAGGGTAGTAATCTCCGCAATTTCCGCCGCCGACACCTTCGATAGTAGTTTCTTTTTCCAGGTTTCCGGTACCGCTTTCCAGGCCGCCAACGCCCACCTCGCCGTGGATGAGCGCCCCGTCTGTTTGGTCAGCGTCCAGAGATCCTTCACCTTCCAGCCACCTTCATACTCTTCCTGAAGTAAGTCCCCCACCTTCATACCTTTCAAGCACTCAGAGCCTTTTTGCCTCCCAAACGGGCTCTCGCCTTGGGAGTGAATCCAGTTGCTGAACCACAGCTGCTCCTGCTCCATTCTCCACCTGTCTGCAGGTTCAGCCAGCTTCGGCAGCTGCTTCTCCCACATCAGCGGCACCAACGACCTCCAACGCTCACCGCCACCTTCCCATTCTGCCAGAATGGCTTTATGTGCCAACAACGTTGCCCAGCCCAGCGGCATGTTCGCCGCCCTCTCCGTCAGCCAATGTTTCATTGGGTTCCCCTCCATCAGGACTGCTCCCAGGTTCCATAGGGCCTGGCTGTTGATTCTATCAGTTGGGCTGATCACCCCGAGTCCCCCTTCTTTCCTTCCCAGATGTGCCAAGAACTCACTCCAGAGGATGAAGTGCTTCTCCTCATCGGCACACCCTTTCGAGATGAAATTGTGGCATAGCTTCAAGACCCTCTTCCAGATCTGTTTCGGCGGCTGATATATCTGCGCCTGGAAAAGTATCACCGGCATCACGTACGCGTTCAAGACCGTCACCCTCGCCGACGTGGACAGGTGCAGTCTCTCCCAGTTGCGCAGTATCGTATTGACCCGAATCAGCGCCTTATCCCATGTCGGCTCAGCATTCCCATCTGACGTAATCCAAATGCCTAAAAATCTCTCCGGCTTGCCCCTCTCCGCCCAGCAGAAACTCGAGTCAGCGTGCGGCGGGAGCACTCTGTTCTTCCGTAGCGGCATCACGATCGACTTTCCTTGATTGACCTTCAGCCCCGACCTTTCGCCGAAGTCATCTAAAAGCTTCTGCGCCTTCCCAAGCTGCTCCTTCCCTTGAAGTATGAGCGTCGTGTCATCTGCGTAGCCCAGGTACGCCAGCTCCCCTTTCCCTCTTTTCCGCAGTCCGAGTTTTCTCCTCATCGCTTCCTGACTAAGCGGCTCCGCTGCGCAGATGAACAGATATGGCGCCAGCGGGCAGCCTTGGCGCACACCCGACTCCACCGCTACTTTTCCTCCCAGCCACCCGTTGACCAGGAGCTGCGTCGACGCCTGCTCATGAAGACCCTTGGACCATTCAATGAAGCTCTTCGGAAAACCCATGCGCTCCAGCGTGCGGAAGAGAAATTTACGCGACACTGAGTCGTAAGCTTTCTGGAAGTCAATAAGCAGCAGGTACCAGTCTTCCTTCCCCAGCACTGCCGCGTCAACCGTGTCAGCTACCACCTTTACCGCATCAGCTAGTCTCCTGCCTGGGACGAAGCCAAACTGGTTCTCTGAGATGACTTGCGGTAACTCTTTTTTCATTCTGTTTGCCAGCAGCTTCGCAATGATCTTGTACACCGCTCCCAGTAGCGTGATAGGTCGATAATTCCCCAGATCTGTTTTTTCCCCTTTCTTATGTAGCAGGATCGTCACCGCGGCTGAGAAGCTCTCCGGCAGCTTCGCAGACGCTTCAAACTCCCGCATGAAGTCCATCACCACCTCCCCCAGCAGGTCCCAGTTATCCTCTAGAAGCTCCTTCGGCAACCCATCAGCTCCCGGCGCCTTGCCTCTCGGGAGCTCCTTGATTGCCTTTTTGACCTCCGCTTCCGACCACGGGGCTGCCAGCCGACCTACCCCTTCTTCGTTCAGTACCCTCCGCGGGTCCATAGGCCACTCCTCCAACTCCACGTCTTGCCCTTTTTCCCGAAACAGTTTGGAGAAGAAGTCCGATGCCGCCGTCAACACTTCCCTCTCCCCCGCGAAAACTCGCCCTTCATACGCGATCTCCTTAACCGCCGTTTTTTCTTTCCTCGACGCTATCTTCCCTGTCAGTACTTTTGTCGCGATCTCCCCTTCCAACTCCTCACCGACCCCCGCCATCGTCTGTTTCCGTCTCCTCTGACTGTCTCTGTACGCCTTAAGCTGTGCTTCAAACTTCACCAGCTCGTCGTACTTGTCCTCAAGCCCAGTGTCCGCCATGAACTCTTGTCTTAACGCTGCTACCCTATCCTCCAAGTGCGCGATCGTTCTACCAATCCTTTTCCTCTCCTCCCTGGCATGTGCCTTCAGACTGGCCTGCAGTGTTGTGAGGGCGGACTGCAGCCTCTTGCTCCCTTTTCCAGCCTGGCCGTGTACCACCTTCTGTATAGTTTTCCGCACTCCCGCACTGCTTGCTTGCGCAGCGTGCATCCTCCATAGTCCAGGACCACACACCTCTCCCGATGCTGCTGCCAGCACCGTGGTGATCCCGAACCAGTGATCTGTGACACCCACCGGAGCTGCCATATGATACGCGTCTGCCACCAAGGACAGCATCGAGAGCGACACCAGCACACGATCGATGCGCGAGCTCGTCATCGTTGATCTCGCCAAGAAAGTGTATTCCAGCTTCGTCGGGTAAAGTGCCCTAAAAATGTCTCTCAGATCCCGGCAGGAGCAGATGTCCAACACTCTTTTATTTTCCGCCTCCGAGCCCCCCTTCGAAGTCTTGTCCATGATTGGGTCTGCCACCACATTGAGGTCTCCAGTCAGCAACATATGCCCTGTTCTCGGTAGTGAGTTCATAAAATCTGTGAGGCAGTCTCTGAAGAACACCCCCCTTGACGTTGCTTGTGCAGGGAAATAGGCTGCTACCAGCAGCCATGACAACTCTCTCCAGCATACCGTTACTGCCAGCAGCCTTCCTGACTCATGCGTCCGCACATCACTGAACGCCACCTCCTTGTTGAAACTTAACACCGCCACACCCCCGGCCGATTCAGCCACAGATACCACTGCCTTTGCATCCGACCCTGTTTGGGTCCAGAAGTTGTGATCCTCTTGCAACCTCGTGTCTGTGAGTACTATCACCCCTTTCGACTTGACCAGCCACTCTTTCAGGCACTCCCGTTTCTCCGCGCTGCCCAATCCATTGACATTGAGCGCGCCAATAGTTAGTTCTTGTTTTTTATCCATTAAACAACTTCTTGAGCCCCCTCATCATCCACGGGGTTGCTGCCTTTGTCATGCTTCTCAGCTTCGGCTCCATCCACCGGCCAGAAAGTCTTGTTGCAAAGAGAATACCACAAAGTACAGCTGATGCAAGTGAAACGCTAATCACCGCTCCTCCTACGACTACCATATGCAGCTCTTGTATAACCTTCTCACACCTGTTCTCCCATCCTGTCACGGCTTCCCACACCTTTCGGCAGGGTAACTGAGGGGTTCCACCCTGAGGGACACTCCGCTGAGACACTCCATGCCTGTGCTGACAGGTCCGACCTACTTCGTCGGCTTTGCAGTGTACCCCTTCTTGAAGGCGAGCGACTTCTGGGAGGACACACTGACACGTGTTGCTGACCCCTCCTTCTTTAGCCCTCCTTTGTGCCGAGCAGATGCAATATGAGCGGACGCCAGCTCGAAACGGTTCCCTTGTGCCTTTTCGCAGGCCGTCTGAACACAGACCCACTCCTCCCGCGCTCCTCCAGTGGAGGTGAGGACAATGGCTGGGTCCTTCAAGATACGCTTCATCAGGTCTGTGGCTTTCAGGGATGCAGCTGCGGGGGGAGAGAGGCAGACATGCGTCAGGATACGGTAAGAGAGGGAAGGCGAACGGCAAAGCGTGCAACACCAGCGGGTAGGGAGCGTCAATGCTTATACCGTTCATCTCATGAACCTTTTTAACAGTCAGGTTCCAGTTGTTGAAATTCTCCTGCCTTGGAGCCACATAGCGGTCATGATAGCGCGACATGTGCTGACCCCCGCAGAAATCGCAGGTCAGAGAAGGGAAGTGGAGCAGGTAACGCCTTCCCGTCGAAGGATCTTCAACGAAGTACCTCCATCGGTACTCATCATCAGCATGCGGGATGACCAGACCACGGATGCGGTCAGTATCAAGCCCTGTAACCGGGTCCACAGTCCGATGAAAGCCGAAACCGCTGGCGAACGCACTTCTGCCACGCTTGACGAGCTTTGACACAACCAGGAGACGCCGAATCAGCTCTGCCGTTATATCCGCCGGTACGCTTTTAACCACGATCTCCTTTGCCGTGGGATTCAGCACCCGTTCACGCAGGAACCGCACATCTTCCGGATGCATCCAGGTGAGGTCAATGAAGTCTCCGTTAACACATTCGTGACGGATGACTTGATTCCAGACGAAGTTCGCATCACGAACGTGGTTAAAAGTGACCTGCAGACGACCATAGCGCGTTCCCGAAAAATAGGTCGCCTGCAGCTCCTGGTAGGTCGTTGTTTGCAGCACCTCCGATGACAGATTTTCCTTCCACTCATCCATCAGCGCCGCTACCGTTACCGCAACGCGAGTGACTTCAGCTTTCCTGAGAATCGGCACCAGTAACGTTAGTGAAAAGCGCTTTAAGGCAATAACACTGTTGAGCGAATCCGGTTCCAGGTGTTCATCAGAATCATCACTCAGGTAGCCGTCATCCTCTTCCTCTTGAGGCAACGCCGACGCCTCCTCAACATCTTCGTTAACATTTTCATCCTTGTCCACTCCCTCATCTGACGCTCCTTCCGCAGCAGGCTTCGGGGACTTTGCAGCTGGCTCGCCTTCATCAGTCTCCTTTCCGCCAGCTCCCGCATCATGCTCAATGCCGTTTTGCAGATCCAGAAAAGCCTCAAACGGGCCAATCACCGTGTCCGCCATGGATCCCGCAGGCGATTTTCCCGTACCAGCAGAATCCTTCACAGGTAGGTCAGGTGCGTCCACCCCCTCCATATCTTGAGCCTTGTTGCATGTCTTCTTGTTGCCTTTGTTGTTGCGTCCCTTCACCATAGTGCGATGATGACCCAAGCTGACCAGCCCAAAGTTGGCTGAGAAAAAGGCTTCTCTGAGCACATTAACTCGTAAGCCTTGCCCTTTATATCTTTGATGCTTAAAAACGAAGCTCTGCAGATCTGGGCCGAGCAACACAGTGGACTCCATGGAGCTTGGCTGACAACCTTGGTTGTAGATGTCCTGGAAATTGACGCGTGGATAATAGAGAGTAGTGAGCTGGCAACAACGGGAGTTCCAGAGCCTTGGGCTTGCGTCAGATCCTTGTGCTTTATCTTGAAATAGTGCCGAGTGTACCAATGCGTGTAGCCTGGAACTCAAAAAAGTGGTACTTAGGTTCCCGTGATGAACACTGTAGTCCCACCATTGTACAGAGCTTAAAGCCGCGCATCGCTTAGATGTACTCGAAACTGGTTCAGACAAGAAATTGGGACACATTGTGCCTCTTAAAGCTCTCCGCCATGGCCATGGCGGCATTGTCATTGTCATTGTCATTGTTGTTTGGGTAATTACCTTCTGGGTAACTCACATCGAGCCCGCTGACGTCAAAAGTCACCTACGTGGCTCGATGGTACCCGTCAGATCATGCGCGCCCCTTCGTGGTACCCATCTTCCCTCCGTGGTACCCATCTTCCCTGCGTGGTACCCATCAACTGTGCGCGAATTCCCTGACTGGTACCGCAACATTTCAACCGAGCTGTACACCGTACACCAAGAGTTTCAATGCGTTTCTCAGTATATTGTCTTAACGTTTACAAGCTCAATAGAGTCACAAGCCCGAAGTGCCACCTGATCGAGTCAATTTATCACACCCATTACCTATAATAAAGTGCAGAAGAAAAGCTGGATTCTTAAATAAAATAGCATTCATTGGGTAGATTTGTTTAGGCTAAGAAACATCGACAATATAACGTGCTATAAGATAACGTAAAACTGATATATTGCATCAACCGAAAAAAAAACATCCGTATAGCAAACAATCAACTTACACGTAAAGTATATATTGACTTAAGGTATATTTGATTTTCATTATATGTATTGTTTTGTTTCCAAAAACCAACGAATGTACGTATTATTTGTTTATGATTTTATGTTTAGCTTTGGGGGTGCATGCTCAATTTATTTGCATACAACCTTATAAACTTTGTTCAAATAACATACTGAGCGCTGCGAAACATGGTCGCAAGATTCACTCTACCTGTCGTTCAGTGGTGTGAGCTTACGAAGGTTCGGAGGTAATGTGAGGATTTTAGAAGAGGAGTTGATTTCTTTCTATGTTGCACTCTGTCCAGTGTAAGGCACGTTCAAACATTTATGTTCAAGGGTATTAATGTTCAATAAGAGTTTGTAAACGTTGTTATTAATATACTGAAAAACGCATTGAAACCCTTGTTGTACAGTGTACAGCTCGGTTGAAATGTTGCGGTACCAGTCAGGGAATTCGCGCACAGTTGATGGGTACCACGCAGGGAAGATGGGTACCACGGAGGGAAGATGGGTACCACGAAGGGGCGCGCATGATCTGACGGGTACCATCGAGCCACGTAGGTGACTTCTGACGTCAGCGGCTTCGATGTTGGTTACCCAGAAGGTAATTACCCTTGTTGTTTCCGATTGTCACTGCTGCCTCTGACTCGTTACCGATGTCGACAATCGCGCATGCGATTTCAGCACCATTGTTCACATATTGGCTATACTTCGCCAGTTTTCCGTCGCACGGCGGGTGTTTTGTGAAGGTTGGCCTGTTGTCGGTGGTCGCCACGTCTCAAGATTTTCGTCCTCCAATTCACGTGGCGAGTTCTGATATGCTGATGAGAGTCTAGTCATCCATGACAGTAATCTTCCAGGAACCCCGCTTGGTTCTGGAAGGAGCATCGCCAGACTGATCGTACGGTCTCAACAACGTGGTTACTCGTCTCGCAACCGTCATGCGAAACGTATCTCCGAATTGAGCTTGATCGAAATCCTAATGCTGCCAGTGAGTGACATTCCCGAGACCAGCTAGTCCAGCCATACTCCTCAGGCTCACTTTTCTACAAAGCTGGCCCAGCCATTCCCAATGTTGCCCAATTCCCAGGTTCTTGATTTCCATTTCACCAACGGTAACTCATCTGCTTACCGCCTCTCAGCAGCTCACACTTACCGTGGGGCTCGCTCAAGAGTACATTTTCGCGTGCATTCAGGCACGATTGCGCAGGCAACGGTCGCCACGCGAAGGCTTGTATCTCTCGCGAGAGTTCTGCAGGCCAACATGGCTGAGAAGTCCTTCAAGTATGTCATCCTCGGAGGCGGCGTTGCTGCGGTAAGCAGATCCGAAATTTTAGGAATCCGTAGAAACAAATCGTGATAAAACCCGCAGTTTTCACGTGCGCCGTGTTTTTGCTGCATCTTTCCAGCTAGCTCACTGAAATTTCGTCTCTCCATATTCTCAGGGTTATGGAGCCGCAGAGTTCGCGAAGCAGGGCCTGAAGGCTGGCGAGCTTGCCATCGTGTCGCGAGAGGCGGTATGCGATTATATTTTTCCTGGTTTGTTTCTAGTCTGCTTGTCTTGACAGGCCCGAGTCAGGTCCTTCACAGTACTGTCAAGATGTCGCATTTCCAGTAATCTCACGTGCCGCCTGCTGCTCCTCTGTCGCATGAACTTGCAGGTGGCTCCCTACGAGCGACCGGCGTTGAGCAAAGGCTACCTCTTTCCTCAATGTACGTCAAGTCCTCTCGCTCGCGCTTCCGTTTCATCTTTCCCTTCACCTCATCCTTGTCCCTGCCGCCCTTCTCCAGTCATCTCGCCATTGCTTGTCTGTTTTTCAAATCCTTCAACCTTACGATAAATACACAATTCGCAGCTACCGCACGTGCAATGCACCAAGCATTCCGTTTTTTTGTTCTCACTCTCTCACACTCTCTCTCCCTACTTTCCCCGTTGCAGCGCCTGCGCGACTGCCTGGGTTCCACACATGCGTGGGTGGCGGAGGGGAACGGCTGACCCCCGAATGGTATTCGGAGAAAGGTGCGTCGCTAGGGGGTAGACAGACATGGGAGGGGAAGACGTGGAGACGAGTATAAGCGGCGAGCAACTCGAGGTGTGTGTTTCAAGGGACTTCATGCAATCAAAATGCGGAGATCCTTGCCAGAACTCCAGAGGGAAACCGACCTCCCATGAACTAAAAAATGCTGGCCAGAATTCTGTATTTGTGCAATTTTATATCAGTAATCGCACGAAAAGCCTACTGGCATGCGTGCACAGTGCACCAATTTAGTCCCCTTCCGTTTGCCCCTCCCCGCCCTCCTCTCTCTCCAACTCTCTCTCCTACCATCCCATCCCCCTCTCGTGCTCTCCCACGCGCCCTCGCTCGCACAACCGCAGGCATCGAGCTGATTCTGAACACGGAGGTCGTCTCTGCTGACGTGGCGAACAAGAAGCTCTCCACCGCCTCTGGCGACACCATCGCATTCACCAACCTCATAATTGCCACTGGCGCCGATGTGAGTAACTTTCCCCCCTTTAGGAACGCCTAAGCAATCCTTTGCCCAATGCCCAGACCAGACACATCTGCAAGAAGCTCTCCACCGCTTCGGGCGACACCATCGCATTCACCAACCTCATAATTGCCACTGGCGCCGATGTGAGTAACTTTCCCCCCTTTAGGAACGCCTAAGCAATCCTTTGCCCAATGCCCAGACCAGACACATCTGCAAGAAGCTCTCCACCGCTTCGGGCGACACCATCGCATTCACCAACCTCATAATTGCCACTGGCGCCGATGTGAGTAACTTTCCCCCCTTTAGGAACGCCTAAGCAATCCTTTGCCCAATGCCCAGACCAGACACATCTGCAAGAAGCTCTCCACCGCCTCGGGCGACACCATCGCGTTCACCAACCTCATCATTGCCACTGGCGCCGATGTGAGTAACACGCCCTTCTTATGAAAGGCTTAGACAGTCTGTTGCCAGACTCCTTGGCAAGAAGCTCTCCACCGCGTCTGTCGACACCATCTCCTTCCACCACCCAACCTCATCATTGCCGCTGGCGCCAATGTGAGCAACTCGACAGCCTAGGCTCTCCCCTTCTTGAGTGTACGTCCGAGGGAACACAACCAGGGTGGCAGGGCAGAGCCGTGATAGTAGTCATATGCCTCACACACGGCTCACCGCTCCCACCCCCTCCCCCACGCCCTTGCTTTCTCTCCATGGGCCCCTCCCTCTTCTCACCCCCCGTTCCCCTTCCCTTGCTCCTCCCCAGACCATCAAGCTTACGGACTTCAAGACGCCCGGCGCGGACGCCAAGGGCATCTACTACCTGCGGGAGATCAAAGAGGCCGATGAACTCTACGCCGCCATCCAGGCTAGGCAAAGAAGGGCGGCAAGGCCGTGGTGGTGGTAACACGCCTCAAATTCTCCCTTCCACGCGCCTCTCCCTTGCTCCCCCCCAGACCATCAAATTGACGGACTTCAAGACGCCAGGCGCGGACGCCAAGGGAATCTACTATCTACGCGAGATCAAAGAGGCCGATGAACTCTACGCAGCCATCCAGGCAAAGAAGGGCGGCAAGGCCGTGGTGGTGGGCGGTGGGTACATTGGACTGGAGCTCGCTGCTATTCTCGCCATGAACGACATCAAGGCCACCATGGTCTACCCCGAACCATTCTGCAGTAAGCCATTGCACCCCAGTCACTCCCTCTCGCCCTCTCGCCCTCTCCCCCCACTCGCCTCCTCCTTTTCGCGGCCATTCTCGCCATGAATGATATCAAGGCCACCATGGTCTACCCCGAACCCTTCTGCAGTAAGCCACAGTCCCTAGATCACCATGGTCCGCCTTCCTCTTCCTCTTCCTCCGTCCGTTCCTCTAGCCTTCTCTTTCCTCTCGCCCTCTCCTCCTCTGCAACCCCCTCTGTGGTACACCAGGCTCGAGCTCGCGGCCGTCTTCGCCTCCCTTGTGCCGCGCCCCTTCACCCCCACGCTCGCCGCGTTCTACGAGGGGTGCTACGAGACCAAGGGCGTC